AACTTCGGGAGCTCGAGCTCAAAAATTGAGTACAGATGAACGCTGGATTCAAGCTTCATCTCCCTACTTAATCGTTTTAATTTTAACAAGGTTGTTTTACTCAGCACAGCGTTGTAAAAATCCTGTAAATGATGCAAATAATTTGATAATATGGCTAAATAAAACTTATAGCCTAAAAAGAAGTCTAAAGTCACAGCGACACAAAAGCTTAAAAACCACATGAAGAAGTAAAGACAAAACTTAATGATGCCGTTTTTGCGAGATATTTAAGGTAGTGAGACCCAGCTTATAGCGATGAACCCCAAATTCTGAAGTCATCCGTGGATCCCAGTGATGACAATGTTCAAGTAAGCTCCAGATTTTATGGAGCCGCGGGAGTTTTTAGTCAAATGAAAAGATGGGAAGTTGGATGAAGGGAAGTCGCTCAGTGATCGGGATTTAGAGGAAGGAGAATGAGAAGAGGAGAACGAGCCTTGTAGTGAAAAAATATAAACGAAGAATCCAGCAAAGAATAAAGTTATTGAGATTCTTTTACCGAAAAAACGCAAGTCAGTCCTAAAAATATTTGGAAGTCAGTCTGTTATCTAAGCGTATTCAACGAAATATAATAATAAGCCTGAAAGTGGGAGTTTGGCAGCCAAATGAACCTAAGAAACCCAAGCTGAAGCTCAGGCTCAAGCTCGCGCTCAAGATTAGATTGACGTTAAAAAGGTACGCCGGAAAAACCACCCTTCAATGGTAAGTTACGTAATCCGGAAATCGGCTTGAGGTCTTGCTCAAACGATAGCCGCGTGATGATCACCCCCAAATATGCAAATCCGATCGTTATCGAAAACTTTAAGCCCTTCTTAGGGCCTAGCCTGAGGGGGTCCAGACACCCCCCGGGGCCCAGCAAAGTCCCGTTCGATTGCGCAATATGCAAATGCCAGCCGGGACTGACCAGTGAGGGAGAACGAGAAGGGGTGAGGAGTCTAGGGACTGGGCCCCAGGGCAGAGGGCCCAGACCGCAAATCGAAAAGGGAGTCCCTCTAAAGGGACCGCGGCTGCCATCGGCTTCCAGCCAGCCGGGGCCAGAAATCGACTGGCAGCGAGCCCGGGAGTGACCGGTGGGAGAGAGGGGGTAAACAAGAGAGGGTAGAGAAGAGAGAGGGAGAGAGAGAGTGACAGAGAGAGAGAGTCAGAGAGCGGGGGAAATAAGATGCAGACGCTGGTCAGCGGGCCCTAATTAGAGGCCCATGCCCCCCGGGGCACGGGCCCGCGTTCCGATGGCGCAATAGGGGGGAATGGGGGAATGGAAGGGGGGAGTGCGCCGGAATTTGGCGGACTTGTTGAGTGGCAGGGGCTATATTTGGGGAATATTGGGTGTTGGCGAGCTTAAAGGGGCCAGGAACGGAAGAGAATTTTGTCCTATTGGTTATCTGCTCTCGGGAAGCGAATTTTGGCTAAGAAAAAAGCTTTGAGGGGGGTCCAGGAACAGAAATTATAACTTTCCGGCCCCTGTAACGAACCAAGCCAACTTTTGGAGCTATAAAACCGTTTTTCAACTTCGTTTTTGAGGCACCAACCGCGGATTAAATTTTTCCAGCGTTGACCGAAGCTTTTAACGATATTCAGACACTTTTCGTAACTGAAAATTCTTGACTTTCAGACCCAAATTAGCATAAAAATCCAGATTAGCAAAAAAATTAACAAAATGACGTCAATCCTACTATATATAAAAAATAGTGTCTGTGTGTGTGTGTGTGCCACTTTGCATGCAACTTCCGTCAGCGTGTCCGGAGGATATCTCAAGAGGGGCGGGGTGTGAGGAGGTGTTTGATACGTCATTAGATGCGTAATAGGCTGGAGATGACTGCACACATTTCAGATTTTGTAAATTATGTTGTTTTCGACATTAAAATTAAGTTTTTCGTAAAAATTCGGCCACCCTCTTTGTTAGGATGGAATTAGCATACGCCGGAAGTTGCAGTAGCTTATATAAAGGCACAAAGGCAGCGTTTTTTATTTTTTTGTTATCGGAATTGAGGCACAATTATGCAAAATAATGAACATCATGGGGTTCGACGGGGGCCAGGGTTGAAAAGGCGCGAAGCGGCTTTTCAACCCTGGACTAGATTTATTTAGCAACCAGCGTCCAAAACCCGCTTCGCGGGCCTTGGGCGCTGGAATGCGACCTTTGCATGAAAAGTTTGACTTTCTGATAGCTCCGTCTTGTGGACCCCCCCCGCCCCGACCACACTCGCGAGTGCAACTGGCAAGAATGAGGAAATTTGTATTTTTTCACATTATGCAAATTAGCCCTCAAGTACCCCAAAAAAATGAATAAAACCGGCTTTAACTTTGTAAACTTGTATTTTATCGAAATTCTGAACACACCATCGAAAACAGAAGGGTCGATTACCCCATGTGACGAAGAATCAGAGCGTTTTATGCACAGGAAGACCCTCAAATCGGGTCTCGAAAGTGACATCCACACACACACACACACAGTTACACGCTAAAATTATATAAGGTAGGATTTTCAAAGGCCTGGCAGCATCGGATTCGAGCCATTAGGACCCAAATAAACTCACCTTTCTGAAGCACCTCTATTCCAGCCCATCATGATAATCCTACCAGTAAGCGTCGTTTACTGTCTGTGCTCCTATAAATCGCTTCTAAAATTTTCTTTCCAAATCTCCGCGTTTTTAGCTTTATTGCCATGAAATTCCTGGCTTCCAGATTCCGTTCAACAAGCTTACCCTAGGGCCGCTAGTGGGCGGCCACCACCCAATTAGCATCTCCATGCCGCCCAGGGTGGGGCTCATTCCTTGGCGTTCCGATGGCGCAATATGCCCTCACCCCCGCCCCAGACACCAGATGCATTTGCATATGGGAGAAGCAGGGAAGGGGGAGGAAAGATCGAAATTTTAATGCTGTTTATTTCAGGGCTTGGAAATTGCCGATCTTGAAAGTTATCTAAAAGGCCAGGAAGTTCTTTCAGATTTTTATAGGTTTTTCTTGTGGATTTTGATCATTTTAACACGTTAGGGAATCCGGAATCTAAGGAACTCGTGCTTACTTGCCAATGTTAAAAATCACCCGGTGTAACCACTGCTACTTCATATATCTACCTGGCAGAAATTACCTACCTAGACCTACGTTATCGTTTTCTAACGTAACCGTGACCTTGTTTCTAAAATAGCTCCTAAGAAGGTAGGCCGGAAAGCCGTACTACTTGCTGTCACCACCCCTTTGAAAGTACAGCCGCTTCACACGCCTCCGGGTCATTGGAAAAAGCTGACAACGACATTTGCCCCGGCACCCTCCCATCCCGCTGCCATCAAGCCCGAAACGGCGTGCTACAAATTTTGGCCCTTTGGAAATTCGATCGTCCCGGCCCGGCCGGAGGGGGAGGCTCAGCGAATGGGACGCGTCCCGTGACACACGCTGTCCCGTGTGGTCAAGGCAGAAGAGAGAGAGAGAGAGAGAGAGAGAGAGAGAGGGAGAGAGAGAGAGAGAAAGAGGAGAGTAAGAGAGAGACGGGCCCGGAAAGAAAGCGCGAAATTGTGTGTGAATGGGCAGTGGTCAGCCGCCCCTCCCCCTCTCGCGGGAATGGCCCGAAAATGGGCACCGAATTTCCACCCATTTTGGGGGATTATGAGAATTTTGCACACCCGTCCAGAGCAGCGTAACGGAATGGAATCGGGCGTGGAATTGAGGAATGAAATTGGATTTTTGAGCTTCAGGTCGTAGTATATTTTCCATAGCAAGTACTCTGGCTGAAAGAGCTTATGGATGCGTGTGTGACGCAACTTGGCAAAAAGGTCCGCCTAACCTAAAAAAAGTCTAGCCTAAGCAAACGCCTAAGCCCAAACCCAGTCCTAAGCCAAAACCTAAGCATAAGCCCATCCTAAGCCAAAGCCCAAGCCTAAGCCTAAGCCAAGGTCTAAGCCGAAATCGAAACACAACCTAAGTCAAGGTCTGCTAGCGGCGAAAAGCTGGCACCGTTCCAACTTTCCGCTCCCATTTTGCAGGGCATACGTCAGCCACCCTGGCTGGGTCCCGAGATTTACACCATGGCCCCCGGTGCGGCGGCTTCTCCTCCCATTTTGTGCAGCCGTTTTGATGGCCCAGCCCGTTCTCCTCGCCGGGCGGAAAGCGATCCGCCCTCCCCACCAACGAAAAGCCCATGGCTCCGCCAGCGAAAGGGGAACACTTTTTAAACTGACCAGGTGCTGGTTTCGAGCCAGGAGTCCGGGCTGGGCGAATTTTCAGAACGGCTTGAATGGGCCACTGACCGCTGGGTTTTTGTTGCCAGATGTTGGTGAATTTCAGAGGTGATGGACCAGTGTGAAGGGGTGCGTGGCGTACACTATTCGGCGGTGGAAAGCGGCCAAAAAGGATTCGATTTACCAAGAGATTTTTCTGGGCTTTTGGGAGCCTAAAAAAATGAATTAATACCTTCGATAAGGTTTGAGATTCGGAAAAACTCCGTTTTTCAAAAATTGCTTGGCTTTCAACGTTTCAAAACGGTCTTGGAGCGATTTTGTTCTGAAAGCCCATTGCTCAAAGCTGTTTGTCGTACAGGAAATTTGATTCAGCTAAAAACGAATTCTGAGAAAGATCTGCACCTTGAGGCTTTCCATCTCCTAATCTCCAGAATCAAAACTCCATTTCCTTCTTGCCCCGTCACCCCGATGAAATATTGGAATTTCAATTCTGAAGCCCCCGAGGAGCCGCCCGTCCCGTGGAATTATATCAGATTTTGGCGCTCATGGACGCGCTAAGGAAGGGCTGAAGAGATGGAGAATGCAATTGGTCAATCAGGGTTGCGCAACGTCCACTACTCTCTTTCGCCTTGGACGCCTGTGCCTTCTGCCGTCCTTTCGGGCGAGTGGACAGTGGCAAGAGTCTCCGCTTTTATTCCGAAACGCTCCAAGGCCTGGTTTCCACGGATGGCTTCTTGGCTCGAAATGCCGGCTGGGTACGGAATCGAGAAGTATTAAGGGACGGTCGGAATGTTCAAGGAATTCGCGACCAAAAACCGCATGCTGGCCACGATTTGCACGCTCCAGACCCGAGGTCCAAACGTCGTAAAATCATCAAGAAATCGAGGTCGAGACGCCTCTTTCTTTAGATTCTGAATTAATTACAAAAGATTGTAAAATAACTATTGTATTATATTGTTTAATGAAAGCATTTCAGAACAAGCGGTCTTCCAGCGACTATTTCATCTGTTCGGCGGCTGCCCCGGGTGCAAGGTAATGAGAAATCATCAAGAAATCGAGGTCGAGACACCTCTTTCTTCAGGTACTGAATTAATTGCAAAAGATTGTAAAATAACTATTGTATTATATTGTTTAATGAAAGCATTTCAGAACAAGCCGTCTTCCAGCGACTATTTCATCTGTTCGGCGGCTGCCCCGGGTGCAAGGTAATGAGAAATCATCAAGAAATCGAGGCCGAGACGCCTCTTTCTTTAGATACTGAATCAATTGCAAAAGATTGTAAAATAACTATTGTACTAGATGATACAAAGAAAGCATTTCAGAACAAGCGGTCTTCCAGCGACTATTTCATCTGTTCGGCGGCTGCCCCGGGTGCAAGGTAATCAGAAATCATCAAGAAATCGAGGTCGAGACACCTCTTTCTTTAGATACTGAATCAATTGCAAAAGATTGTAAAATAACTAATCTGTAAAGTTCCTGCAAATTTTCGTGCAGGGCAAAATAAACCACTAAAGTCTGCGGCTGGCCGGGCGCCAAAAGACGAGCTGCCATTTTCTTCTGCAACAAATTTCCGGGAAGTAGAGGGAGGCAAGGCATACCGGCCACGCCAGGCAAAATCCTGATCATCGATTTTTTTTTTGTGAGCCATTTGGATTTGGTTTAGAATGATTCTCCAAGAATTCTTCCTGGTTTCTTCGTTCGGATATCGATGCGTATACAGACTTAAAAAAACTAAGTTACCTAAAGAAAAAAGTACGAATGACTCACAGGCGACGCGCATCTATAAGATTGAACTTCGCAAAATCCGCGGGAAAAGGAAGCCTTTCCTAGTCTCAACGCTTTCCTCCCATCTGTAAATTATTCGGCAACTTTGCGAGCAAAGTTAGATAAACCACTAGGGACGCAGCTAGTTGGGCGCGAAAGGTCGAGCTGCCATTTTCTTCTGCAACAAATTTCCGCGGGCAGATGGAGGCAAGGCATACCGGCCACGCCAGGCACAATCCTGATCATCGATTTTTTTTGTGAGCTTTTAGCTTTTGTTTGAATTCATTTTCCACAAATTATTTCTGTTTTTCGTTGACTTACAGAGGCGCATGCACCCCTAAAACGCTAAATCTATTGTCAAGGCGGTTTGAAAAAAGTGTTTGCGCTAACTGGTGAGGAACTTGCGACATCAGATACCCTGTTTTAGCTAAAAAGGTATCCTAACAATAAGTGGGGCCGTATCACACTTGCTTCGCGCCCCGTGATGCCGATAATGGCTGTGGCTACATAGCAAAAACTGGTCAAAACTGGAAAAATTCCAGAATCCACCTAGCTGTTTGCGTTCTGCTCTTGGCAAGCATCGGGGTAATTAGCTCATAAATTGTCGACATATTATTGCGCAAAAAATCTCCAGGCTTATCGCTGTTCCAGGCTTGGCGGGCTACTTGTGACGAATCCTTAAAGTTGTTACAAGTATGCATGTCCTCGGCCGGCCACTCGTTCAGAAATGTCCCAACCTATGTTTTTCCATTAATAGCATCCAACTTTCTAAGCTCCCAGTTCCAGAAATGCCGTATTCGTTCAAGGCGGGCCTGCAGGCAGCATATTGGCAATACCATGATGGCGCAAAATGTGACGGCTGTTCCGACTGGATCATGGGAAATCGCTACTTCTGCAATTCGTGCAAAGCTAACCTCTGCGAGAAGTGTCATGCCGAAGAGAACTACGGCACGAAAAGCGACGAACATTCCGATTTCCATATTTGTGAGGTAATTTTTTGCGTTGGTATCTCGGGTCAGAGAAGCGGCGGGCAAGGTGGAAATTTTTGGTGATAAGGGGGTTTCCAACCCGGTCCCTACCCTGCCTTGCAAAGAATTTTTTCGTTGGGTTGGAGGTGAGGGTGGGGATGGATAGCTGCCCGGGAGAGGCACCCCGCAGCCGTGAGGTACGGGTTCGACCCCGGCCCGGAGCACGATTCGAATTTCGTCAAAGCTACAAACTTTGTACAAGGGAAGTGTTTTTGACCCAGGTGGATCCAGCCAGAAGGCCAAAATAATTGGGTGTGAAAATCCAAAATTTGAGCAAAAAATCACTTCCGAAGTAACTTTCTAACGAGGAGGAGTTTCAAAAAACTTCTGTTCAAACCTCAGCTTTATTTTCAATGCTCTATCGATTGATGTATGTTACATAGAAATTTGGGGTAGGGGTCGGAATCTCAAAATTTCGGAATCTCGAAATTTCTGAATCTCGAAATGTAGGAATCTCGAAATTGCGGAATCTCGAAATTCCGGAGATATTAGCAGATTCCTGGAAGCAAAACTATCATGTATCCAAATTTTTCAGATACAAATACAAGATTTCCGATAAAACGATAAGTAGACCCTCTGAAAAAAGGTGTTTAGCAACTCGTCGTTTCAAGGGCTTTCGAATGGTATGACTATCATCCCGATCCGACGCTTCTCCGTCTAGTTAAAGGGGGTCTACTTTTCGTTTTATCGGAAATCTTGTATTTGTATCTGAAAAATTTGGATACATGATAGTTTTGCTTCCAGGATCTGCTAATATTTCCGGAATTTCGAGATTCCGCAATTTCGAGATTCCGAAATTTCGAGATTCCGAAATTTCGAGATTCCGACTATCACCCAGAAATTTGTCACCTGGGTCAAAAACACTTTGCTTGGTAGCATCGTAACTCAGAAACATGACCAGTTTCGTAAAATTTTTCGTGAAAACCGATAGCATGGTGTAACTGGAAACTTTAAAAATACGGATTGATTTTAGACTATCCTGTGTTCTCTCGACAAACTGTCAACGCCCGCCCATAAGGGTATCAATTGCGACGGATGCCGTATAAAGGATATCTTCACGCGTCGCTACAAATGCAATGTCTGTCACGACTACGACCTCTGCGAGAGCTGCTACGATAATAAGATATACGCTCCCGTTACGAACAAAGTGGTCAGCCATCGGGCATCGCACCAAATGACCGTAAGTAACCTTTTTAAGCTTATAAAGGGCGTGGTAAAAAGGCACACAGCTCAAACAAGAAATTTTTCTGAATGGTGCCGATATTTTACAAGGCAACTACGGCTATTGATTTGTTGAGCGTCTATGTTAAGCCCGTTGCCAGACAATTTGCGCCCAACCTGACAATTTCTGACTTGAGCTGTGCTGACTTCCGAATTCCTTCAGCACACTCGATAGCTGATTCTAAAAACCGGTTTTAGTATTGGGATCCACCAATCGCAGAAGCGGAGAATCTGAGTTACGATCAGATGCATGCTCGCGCCATAAAACTCCAGCAGCGTCTCGGGATTCCCCTGTCGAAACTTGGAGCCCTCGAATATAAGAAGGAGGGTGGTGACGACGATTGGTACAAATTCCATCAAAAGATCGGTTATGCGATCTACGGTGACCCGCGATGCGTCCGTGACACTGCGAAGAACTGCTACTTTGGGTACTCTCCGGAACAGGAAGACCTTGTCCGTGAACTCGTGGGAAAGTGCCTGGAACTGAATCGCAAGCATCATTCGGATGAAAGCGTGCGCGCCGACTTCATCTTTGTCAGCTTCTTTATGCCCGGAAAATTCGAAAACACTATCCCTTTAGGTATGGTGGTTTTGCCAGTTGAAAGCTTTTTCAAAACCTCATCTTTTAGTCAGGGTATACACCAGCAAATACAACTATTTGGTGGAGCCCAGTGGTCGCGCCTACGACAATTGGAAACATTTTTTGGAGACGAATTGCCTGCCAGAATGCCATATCATTGGGCCGGACGAGGGGACATACAAATGTGATGATGAGGGTCGTCTTCTGCTCTATTATTACTACCATGACCCATCGTGGCTGAAGAGTACTGGCGGCTCGGTGGTGGATGGGGTAGCCACCGTCGGAACAGTTCTCGGTGAGTTTTAAAAAGGCATAATGTAAGGTGCCGAGCTTAACAAAAAAAGCATTGAGTTTACCACATAAACATTCTACCGTATACAGGGTGTCCCAATCAAAAACACCACTCCGTAGGAGTCTATGTGCAGCTGTGCCTTTCGAGACTCGATTCGGGGGCCTTCCCATGTCTAAAATTCTCTAATTCCCCATCACCTCAGGACCCCTCTCGTTCCGATGGCGTTTTTAGAATTCTAATGCAATATAAGCTTACCAGTTAAAGCCGATTTTATTCATTTTGGGTTTGGCGGCTTTGCATAAGCATAATTTTCGCATAATAGGAATTTCCCAGTTCTTACCAGTTGCACGCGCGCGTGCGGTCGCGCGGGGAGGGGGCGAAATGACCAAATCCATCAAACAGTCAAATTTTATATGCAAGAGACGACTTCCAGCGGATTTTGGGCCTTGGTAGCTTAATAAGGGCACGTGGTATCACACCAACTTGCCTCGCAGGCTCTCATTCTGACGGCTAAGTTCCAGGAATCCACATAACATGTGGTTTTTTTACTTGCGCGGCCTTTGGAAGCTCACCCCACTCACCAAATTACCGAACTTTAGGTACTACCCTCGGGGTGATTAGCCTGTTCACGCCATTGGCACCAGTTGCGGCGGTAACGATGGGGGCGACGATGATCGGCTCCGGCGGCTGGTTTACCTTCAGAAGCGGGGCGGCCATCGTTGACCGTATAGAACACGAAGAAACGGTCAACCCATTCGCCAGCAAGGACGCCTTCTTCTGCTGGCTGTCCATCGTAGGCACAGCGGCCGGGCTCGGGAGTTATGGGGCCACGATGCGTCTAGCCTCGTTGGCGCGCACGGGCAGTCGGATCGGGATGGTCACTCGTGTCATCGCAAATACTGCCATTTTTGGTAGGATATCTTTCTTTCTCATGGTTTGCCTACTTTCAGGTTCTCTGGGCATCAATGGAATCGGTGTCATCAGCAATTACGTGATGATCGCAAAAGATATCTCGGAAGGGCGCAAACCGAGCGCCCTGCAACTGTTCCAGGTGGGAATTTGGCTACGAATCTGTGCCCGCAAATCCGTTGCCCGCAAATACGTTTACGTTACGTTTTGGACGGCCTGGACCGAAAAGGGTGTAAATTTTCGCAACGAAGCAATGATCATTTTATATTGTGCGTTGGCGCACACTAAACTAAACTTTTCGATTTTTATGGGCGCGCGGAGCGCTCCAAAAGATACACCATTCTATGCAGAAATTTCCCGCGCATCTTTTGACATTAGTGGCTAAGCGCTCTGAGGACCCGTAAACCCGATAATTCCGAAAAACTGTCTGGATTACGCGTTATACCTATGTTAAAAACCATCCCACCCTACTCATTCGACCATGCTCTTTTAGATGGGGTCAAAAAAACAGGGCTGAAGAAACGGTGCCAAGCCTTGTTCGGGTCTCTCGCAAACGGAAAAACTTCCCACGAGAAAAATAGCTATAATAAAAAACTTTAGCTCTGCACCTCGGTGCTTTTCTTCACCAACTCGGTGTTGAACGTGCAGACGGCCAATGGGATCATCAAGGAGGCCGTGACAAATGACCTTAAACGCATACAAAATCTATTGCCGACCGAGGAGGAGCGCCGCTTTTTTGGTAACATCATGAAGGAGAGGAATGGTGAAGGTCTACAGGAGATGCTGGCTCATATGAAAGTAAGTGGGCGCCGCCTCGCTCACCGTTTCCTAGAAAGCAGAGGCGCTGAAGGCCCAAACCAACCCCGACCTGCACCAAGCAACTCAACGACATGCGGCCATGTCCAACGACCTTCGGTATGGTCGTCAGTGAGCTGGCGCGGGGGGGGGGTCCAAATAAAAAATACCAAAAGTTTGCCAAACTGACCTTACTATTCTTAAATGTAAAAACTTACAAGTTTTTATCAAAACAAAATAGATTTTTTGACCCAAATTCCGTTTTTCACCGAAATTCCAGCTTAAAATTTTGTTGAAGTTTTTGATGGTGTTTCTAGTTGCAATATAGTGCTATTTTACTACAAACATATTAAAATACTTCCCATTAACTTACTAGGCGTCTCTATACTTATACAAAAAATCTTGCCCCCCCCCCGGAATGCGAAAGCGCCTTCCGTATTTCTTTAGGTTCGCTTTGACTACGACTTTTCTAGTAATTTTTTTACAGCAACGGCCCCGCAGCGATGGGAAAGCTGGACGAAGCAACGTTAGCGCGGGCCGAATTCGCGCATGAAACACGAAAAGGAGGCAGCCTGGCGCACAAAAAGTCCACGAACACCGTCTTCGCCATCGGACAAGAAGAGCTGCAGCGTCGGATTGACCAGAGGATCGGCGCCGATCAGCAAGTCGGACGGCACGATATTACTTTGCGTGGCACCTACCAAGCGGTCGATTGGGAGATCAACCCGTTGACCGGCACGAAAACGAGGACCTACTATGAGGTGGGCCTTCGGTTCTGGAGCTTGCCAAATTTCGATCTTTTGGCTCCATTGCCGCCGTTCCGTTTTGCAATCACTATAGCGTTTTCCGCTCTCATACAAGTTGACAGTTTCAGGTGCGAGATCCGGTCTTCGGAGTTGATAATGGCAAGGCAATCCATCTAAACTCCAAAGGCACCTACTCAAAGGTCGAAATCCCCGGGCAGAGATTCTACGAGGCGTATCAGAAAGTCGATGGCATCCCGGCGGTCTACTGTGCGCGCCGACGGCGCAATTCGGGCGCCAACGCCCAATAAAAGAGGGCACTGGGCTGAGGCTTACCCATAGTGTCACCGACCAAGCCGATAATTTCATTTCTCGACATGATTCTTAGTGCTTTGCTATCTTTCTCTTCTATAGCGAGTGTGCGGCGGTTCATGAAATCCTTGCGTCACATCTTTTTTTTACACGATAGCCAAGATTTGCTTCCAGTATTCCAAACCCCCACACTTTTTCTGGCAAGAGTTTACTTTACCCCCCCCAGTCTGAAGGTCCCAAAATTTTTTAAGGCCACCAATCGGTAGCCCAAGGTCCCAGCTACTATCCCCTGGCCGGGAATTGCCAAAAAAAAATACAAATTTATACAATTAAAATAGTGTTTGAGCGGCTATTCGAATTTCGCTTGTTTTTGCCATAACTATTTTATATTACATTATTTTGGGCTGAAATTCAAACTCTTGGTATATTTTTTTTACGCCCTATTGAATGGCATATCGAAGGTGTCAAAAATAACGAAAATATCGACAACTAGCTTTTTAATCCCATTTTTAGAGGTTATTTTTGTTTTTGCTATAACTATTTTATATTACAATTTTTGAGCTGCCATAGCAACTCTTAGTATATTTTGGTGGCGAAAAAATCCCGAAAAACAACGAAAATATCCAAAACTTTGCGACCCTCGGGCTGGGGGGGTAAAGTAAACCGTTGTCCTTTTTCTTGCCTTTTAACTTCTGTCGTGACCAAATAAACAGTAGAGACAACAGACCACTTCAGTAACCTCACCACCCCCGAGATCCGTGAAAAGCCGAACACATCATAAGAACTCGCTTATGATTTATCCGCCGCCATGGGGTCGCCAACATGCTACAGAGCTTGGTAACCCGAGATATCAAAATTTTAGTGTCGTCTACTCGGCAGCTGCCCCGGGTGGAAGGCAATTAGAATTCACAAGAAATCGAGGGCGAGACGCTTTTTTAGCTATTGAATTGCCGTATTGCCTTTTATACCGCGCCCCCCCAATGTAACCCCCGCCCAAAAAAGTTTTCGAAGTTGTCTCCAAGGAGTAAAAAATGCCAAAAACATTTTTGTTTAAGTTTCGTACTGCGTTGCTGAGTAATTGTGAGCAATTTGAACTGCTAGAAATCGCTGCAATTGCTCAAAATCACGAAAAATATTTGCTTCGTGTAACACAACCCCTCCCCCGGCGTGATTGAAAAAATATAAGCCACGGGGTTATATTAGAGGAAATACGGTATTTGCGAAAGTTGTACAATAACTGTTGTAAAATATGATACCATGAAAGCATCTCTTTCGATTTTTCTCTCTGCGACTCGCTCTTTCTCGTTCATCCGGTATCGTTGGCAAGGGAGGCGCATTTGAGCTTATTGAATTTACCATTTGCATCCCAAAGATGGATCCTCGAGCATTCGCTTCCACCTGCACTCGAGCTTTTGTATTTTCTTTTCGTTGCCCACCGAAGGGTGGTGTCGAAACGCCACAACGTCATGTTGCAGGTGATGCCCAGCGAGGCCATCGAAGTAAGTCAGAAGTCGGTCGATCGCGTTGTACAACAAAATGTACGCCCTCTCGACTTTTCCGGATTTCTGAATACAATTTTGAAAGATCCTGCCAGGATTAGGGCAACTATGTTCTATAGGGTGTGCCAAAAAACTTCATCTAGCGGTCCGCAGTGATAATCGTCAATAGTCCTGTAATGCCATTCGATAGAGCGTCAAAAAATATACTAAGAGTTTTAATTACAACCCAAAATAGCATCATTTAAAAGAGTTATAACAAAACGAACAGCATTCCCCCCGCACAGTTTCACCCCCGCTTACATAGAACAGTACCGAAAGAAAGCTCTCGACAAGCTGAAAAGATATTTTCTCTCTGATTTTTAAAATCCTCAAATTTTCTGCTCGATTTTCATCGTTTTTGCGCTTAAATTGCGCAATTTTCTGCAAAAACTCAATTAATTTAATCGGCTTCAGTCCAATCCAAGCTTTGTTTTCTCATCTAATTTCTTTCAAAAAGCCGACTTTGGGCTGCCAGGATAGATGTAAAAATTTGGAAATATAGTAAATATTATAAAAATTTGGAACTTCGAAAATCGGAGTGAACGTATCTATTCAACTCGCTAAAAGAACTTCGCTAGATATCTAAATCATAAAAACCGTAATCACCGCGGACCGCTAGAGGTGGGTCTTTTTTGGGACACCGTGTATTTTTCCTGGGTTAAGCTGCAACTGTTAAACCAAAACCTAATCGCTCTTTTCAGGAGCCGCCCAGTGCCCTCATCTCCTTCGAGGAGTTCACCAAGATGCCGCACGATGTGTGGCTGCTGATCATGGACCTGCTGAACCCGGTCGACTTACTGCATCTGGCCTATTCTGACAGCTACTTCAAGGTATGACTCAATGCTAGCGCAGAACGAACAAATCGGTTTTCGGAGCCAAGACGTGTTTTGAAACATTATTAAAAATCAAGAAAAAGCGTTTTCAACGAAAAATTGACACTTTTAGACATCCCTTAAGTTTGCAATTTAGTTTCTCACCGGAAAGCTAACTAAATTCTACGGGAAAGGCGATTAAAATACTTTCTGGGACGTCATTAACTCCAAATTTCTAAGGGCACAATTAGGGTTCTTAATCAAGGCTCAGGCCACGGACTGGTAAGCAACAATTTCTAGGAGCTGGTGACGGCCTCGCCGAAGCGATGGGGCCTGATCAAGGCGCAGCTTAACCCTTCTTTTCTCGACGCGAGGTACGATCGAATACTTGCTTTAAAGTTACCCTTTCAGGACCTACAAGTTCATCGATCTTGGCAACTACGTGGGGCCGGCCAAGTTGGCCAAGAAGAAGAAGTATTTGCTCGGCTACGGCGACGAATACGCGTGAGTGTGGCGCCGTGTTGCTTTACCTCCTACATTTAGCTTCAAGCGATACATGTCCGGGGTCCGGAAGGAACTCGCTGGGTTTTGCCGCCATGTGCCGCCTGACGTTGATCGCGAACCGGCAGCTCTAGATGATCTCTTCATCCTGTTAAACAACGCGGTCTTTGATCTTGTGCGTGCTTTTTTCAAGGCTGTTTGACATTATCCGGGCAGATGGAGTTTCGATAGGATCTAACTTTTCTAATATAAAAGGGCAAGTGTTTAGGTTTGTTGTTTAAGTCTAGGCTGGATTATGCTCTTCTACTTTACATATTTTGAGTAAAAAATATTTAAAAATGGCGATTTTCTGACTAATGGTGCCCGATTTTTGAAATTTTAAAAAATATCATTTAAAATGTGTTCTCATTTTATATTTGATCACGACAATATGTTTGCATTGTATTAAAAACCGTTAAATAAGTTATAGAAAAAGCCCCCCCCCGATAATACGCAAGAACTTTTGCAAAATTGGGAAACCAAATTTTTGTCTTTTATAGGGTTTGGGCTAAATGCCAAATAATATAATCGAACTACACCAACTACATGTTTTCCTTACCCAGCCTAATCGCTTGAAAAATGTACAAAGCTTTAAAATCGTCCGAATCCATTTTCACGATTTAGCGAAAAAAAACAGAATTTTTAGTTTGGCTACGGTGTCGACTGGAATCTGCCGGACCCGAGCAAGTACAGGACGGCTCCTCACGTGCGGGCCCACATCGCCCTGATGTCCATCAACGGCCCGAAACTGGAGCTGTGCCGTCAGATTGGTATGTAGAATTTGGGAACTTGGGGTCCTTCAGGACTTTTTTGGGACTCCGTATCGATCCCTGGAAAAATAGCGTTTTTGCCCGTTCTTGACTAGCAAATTAATCTAATTTTACCACTAAAATAGATTTTCTTCTTCTCGAAACTCATCAGAAATTTGGCTTTTTTGAAGATTTTCCATTTTACGAATTTTCTTTAAAAGCTGTTCCGTTTGAATTAAAATACGAAATTGGCCACACAGCACCCGGGGAATCGCAAAACACCCCGATCCTAACTAATTTTTAGCTGCGCTCGAGCCGATGGGCATTGCCATCCACACCAGCACCGCCAACCAGCTCGGCCCCGTCATCTCGGAGGTGGCCATGCTGATGCCGGTTGGACCTGCAGGTGGCCAGGATCAAACATGAGGTTTTTAGGGTCTGAACAGGGCCTGGATTCACTTTGGGAATGAGATGTCAGAATCGGGCGCGCTGGCCGAATTGAAGTGCCCCCACATCATTGCTTTCGTGTCGTTGGTGAAGAAAGGTAGAAAAATCTTTGTTGTCGCTTTCTCTCTCCCCCCTCTCTCTCTCTCTCCTATTCTCGCTCTCTATCTCTCTTGCTCTCCCTCGCTCTCTGTTTCGCTCTCTCTACCTCTCCCTCGCATTCTCGCTCTCTCGCTCTCTCTCACTATCTCCCTTTCTCTGGGTCTCCTTTACAACGCTATAAAATACTTTTAGTGAAACAAAATAAGTGCTCCACCTTTGTGGCCCACCCCGAGATGCTCAAGAATTTCACCATCTACTTATCCCGACACTCCAGAATATGATCTCGGTAAAACTATGTGTCCGACATTTTTCAAACACTTTTCAGCAATGGGCAGCCGGGACGCGCGACATCCAGATGATCGTGCTGAACTCACAGGAGACGGCGAAGCTGGGCTACGATTACAGCATTCCGCACGCCTGGGCCAAAGTCGATCCGGGTTGGTGTTATAGAAAAGGGGCTTTCACATTATCGGCGGGACCAAATTATTTTACTCGGATCGCATTTTTCAATAGATGCAGTGATTCTCAGCAGTTTTTAGTGTTTATAAACCTCGAAGCTTTTGCTAAAGAACAAGAAAAATATAGATTTTTGACCAAATTTTCAAAATTTCCAGATCTTTTCACATAGTTTTTTTTTGCCTGAGTCTTTGCCGAATAGCCTTCCCCCCGATAATGCACAAGGTCCCCAGGCTATCGGTTAGTTAGCTTTGCAGAACTGGAGAAGATTCCCAGCATCCTCTCGGCCGGCCGAACCGATGTGCACCAAGTCTTCAGCTGGGCCAACTGTTGCCTGATTCGCAGGGCTCCATTCGTGAGTGCAGCATCAAAATACCCTCCGTTATCTATTGTCTTCAGAGCGAGGAAGGGCTTTTCATTTGCATCGACGGGGCCAACCTCGTGCTCATTTCCTGTAACTACACCTTTCGCAGGTGAGGGTTCTTAAAAAACTTGACTTCAGCAATCTTAAAGGTTCTTTCCCATTATCGGGGTGGGGGCGACTTTTGAAAGCTAATCAGCGTAAGCTTTTCTAAAATATATAATTCTCAAACGTAAAAACTTTACAAAAATTTTAAAACCATACAAAAAAATTTGGTTTTTCGGCCAAAAACGCCCGTTTTTGACCAATTTCAATCTTTTGTAAAGCGTTTCAAAGCTTTTAGATAGTTTTTTTAATGAAAATATAGCTTATTTTACTAAGAATACGAAGATTTCTCTTTGTAAGTTACTAGGCATTTCTAGATCCATACAAAGAAGATTTTCTTCCCCCTCCCCTCCACCCCCCCCGGCAATGTGAAAAAGCCTAGTGAAAAAAGCTTCGGACCATTTCAGCTTTTTGAATGGATAGATTTCTAACTAAAATGTTGAGCACGAGCCAATTTATATGCCTTCCAGAGACCGCACGCAGCACGATAACACGGTGTACATGAACGAAGCCATCGACATGGGAACGCAGATGCTGATGGAGCGGCTGTATGATGACAAGAATGGAGGGGAGGTGAGTCTTCCCCAGTTAGGTTTTGCGTTTTGACGGGAAATCCCTTCTTTGATATAGATTTTTCTATCGGGAGCTGTAGTAATTTTTATGCTGCTTTATACTGTTAAAGGCGTAAAAATTTTCGCTTTTCACGTGCCGTTTTTGTGCAAGAATGCTTCTTGTTCCGTGAAACTAAAGTTTTTTTGCTAACCGCCTAAATCTTTTTTGCTAAAATATAGCTAACTTTCACGATTTAGCTCCGGCGCGAGGCACTCGTCAAGAACTGGGAAAGCCGCGAACCGCACGGCTCGCTTCCTATCCACGAGCAAATCATTGACCAAATGGTAATTTCGTAATGTTGATACAGGACGCTTGGCCAGGGGGGATTAAGTTTAGTTTTAGTTTATCTCCTTTATATTCTATCTTTTTTTTATTTTGATTTTTACATAGTTTTATTTGTCTTTACTAATTTTCATAGTGTTTTAGTGCTTTTTAAGTGCGAAGAAATTATAAGAACTCTTTTTCAAATTCGCAAAATTTATAGATTTTTGCCCATTTCTCTTACATCTTTTACCTGAAAGACAAGAATACACAAAAATTTTATGACTTTTTAGGTGAAATTTTTTACTTGACACCATGAAAAATTCTATAAAAATTGTCTTTTTTGCGTAGTGCTGGTTACTGAGTGAAACAGAAGTGTCCACCCGCGCTAACCACCCCCCCGTCAACAGTCAAGCTCCTGAATTGCAAGAAGTACTGTTGTTTCAGCTGTACAGTTGGCCCGCACACGAATGGCCGTTCACCGTGGGTACTTCGATCTCTTGGTCGACCCTGTGGCTCGAAGCTCTCAATAAAAAAGCATTTTCAGGACAAGTACTACCGCCCGCACGTGGACCCGATCTTCAATGCCTACAAGAAGCTAAGCGACAAGTACCCGGTCTTCGACAAAACCGATCGATTCTGATGCTCCTTTTTTGAATCCTACTTCACCGCCTTTTTCTGATGTGTATTTCAAAAGTCTCGGCTCCTGTTTTTCTTTGATCTCGACTCGTGTGTAAATTGGATCCATAGGCACTTAATGTATGTGATGATGTAATGTGATGTCGTTGCTCCTTTTTTGTAATCTAACTTTCCTTCGCGCTGGTGCGCATGAATTTTATCTGGGATAAAGCAAAAATTGATCGAACGATGCACTGCGGTTTCCTCAGAGAGAGCGAGAGAGAGAGAGAGAGAGAGAGAGAGAGAGAGAGGGAGAGAGAGACTGAGAGATAGAGAGAGTAGAGAGAGCGAGAGAGATATAGAGAAAAAGCGAGACAAAGAGACAGGGAAAAGAGAGGGTTAGAGAGAAAGAGAGAGAGTGAGAGAGAGAGAGAGAGAGAGAGAGAGAGAGAGAGAGAGCGAGCGAGTGAGCGGGAGTGGGAGAGAGTGAGAGAGCAAGAATGAGAGAGAGAGCGAAAGAGAATGAGCTAGAGAATGAGGGACAGAGAGAAAAAAGGTAGAGAGCATTACCTGGCTTCTAACCCAAATTCCGTAGAGGTGTTCAGTGAAGCCCGATCTTTTTTCATGGAAAATGGCGTGCCGGGTTTGCCGGCCGTTTTCTTGCACCAGAAAAAAATCCCATCGATTTTTTTGGGCCCGGGAAAGCAACTTCGAGATACGAACACCAAGCAAGCCTCCCAATAAACTGCCAAGGCCCCAATTCCGTCTGTTTTGATGCGGCTATTTGAATTCGTTTTCATTCACGATTGATTTGCCGCACTCATGGTAAATTACGGTGAACTAATTTCCTCTGGCTCATTTGGCACCGTCTATCATTGGGAAAATGACAAGATGTAAGTCCGGTCATTCATTTTTTGGCTTGACCAAAATATTTAGTTCCTTTGCTGTGAAACTGTTAAAAAATCAAAAGCTCTACAATGCTTACTTGGCTGAGATGGATACGCTGAAGAAGTTGACGCATCAAAATATTGTTGAGTACAAGGACATGCCGCCAGGGTTTGAACCGGCACCTGGTGACTTGCTGATATTTTTGGAATATTGCGCTCATCACTCTCTGCATGATGGTATGCCTAAGGTCTTGCAAAAGTACAGACTCATGAGTAATAATTCTTTTGCTTGGTAAGTCTCCAGACAACCCCCCAGCCGGCACCCAACTTTTGTATCTCGGCTCCCTGTTCATCTACAGGTGTGTAAAATATACCAAAATGTTTGTCTTGCTCTGGCGAGTATTTTGGTATACTTTACATACCTGTGTATGAACAGGAAGTCGAGATACGGTAGGCGGGGGCCAGCTGGGGGGCTCACTGGAATATAGCCTGTTGCTTGCTTGCTGCGAAAAAAAGCAAAGGCTTTTTAAAGTTTCTTTTCTGAATTTTCTGCATGCTGCAAACCAGCTTATCGTTTTAGTTATTCTCTCCACAAAATATGTCTACCAACTCGAAAATGTGCAAATGTGGCTGTACGATCTGTTTTGTGGGCTCGACTATCTGAAGACCGAACATTCTGCTGTTCACCAAGACATCAAACCGCTTAAGTAGGTCGACTACGTAGACTTACGCCTAAGCCTAAACCTAGGCCCAGGATTAGCATTTTGATAATTTTTAGAAATTTACCAGGGTTGAAAAGCCGCTTCGCGGTTCGCGGCTTTCAACCCTGGCCCCGTCCGACCCCTTAATATGCTTCACTCTGAATACGTATCTCGAATTCCGATATGATAATGAAAAATGACGCTCTCTACCTGATTATATAGGCGACCGCCACTTCCGGTGTATGTTAATTTTTTCCTAACAAAGAGGGGTGTCCTATTTTTCAACAAAAACAATTTTAGTGTCAAAAATAGAACAATTTGCACAATCTGATAAGCGTGCAGTCATCTTGGGGCCATTACGCACCTAATGGCGTATCAAATATAGCTTAAGGCCCTTCCCCTCTTGAGATATCCTCCGGACAACCTGACGGAAGTTGCATGCAAATGCACACACACAGACACTATTTTTTTAAATATAGTAGGATGATTGATAAAACGGGTTATCCTTTCTGATAGGGCCACGAAAAACTCAAAGTCGCCTTGCGAATATTCCAGTAATGTCCATTGATATCAAAATTTTTAGCCTGCTGATTTCCGGCGATTTCCTGCTCAAGATTGGCGATTTTGGCACGCTGAAAATTTTGGAGCCAGCTGAAAAATATCCTCCAATCCCTGTGGGAACCAAGAATTACATGGCACCCGAATATCTGAACGTCGCAGCAAATCCGCTATCTGCCGAGGTCGGTCGGCTCTCTTGGAGCTTTACACCCCTGGAAGCCTTGGGAAGGACCAATTCCAGCACTTCTACAAGGCCGACGTCTACGGCGCGGGGGTGGTTCTATGGGAAATGATCACACGGAGGTATGCGGAATCTCAATGTTCGGATGGTTTTGACATGTTTAGTGAGGCTCCTGCGGCTACAGACGATCGTGTTCTCGCGGTTGGTCAACACGTCCCTGAAGCGCTTCGAGAAGTCTTGTCCCGGTTCGTGGTTGTTCAAAAATACAGTTTTCACAAATCATAAAATATGGTAGAACTTTCTAAGAATCCTATTCTCTATGAAGTCAGCTGTTCCTCTTCCGCTTATTAGTTCGGGTTTCAAGTTTTAAGTTAAAGCAATCGTTCGACAAAATGTAGGGTATTTTAACAGTACTGCGTAGCCTTTCCCCTAGTATCTAAAAAATTTTTACGCACCTTACGAACATTTTTGACCAAAAACTAATTTTTTCGAATTTTTTTGGATTTTGTCTTGGGTTTTTTAGATCTAAGGCTGCATAAAACGCTATAAAAATTGATTGTCGCGATGGGCACCTTCGGAGTTGCTGAGAGGATTAATTTCACTCGTGCTAAAATTATTTTAAAAAATACCAACTTCTACCGATTTCAGTTGTCTGGAGAAGGACTTCAAAACTCGTGCCATCTCCGAAGAAATTTGCCGTAACATTGCCGAATACGGGAAAGTAAGTGCGGCTACAACAAAATTTCGAAAATTCGACTCTGTTCTCAGATTTCCCGAAGGCAATTTCGGCCAGTGTCGGACTCCAGCAAAAACTACCTAACCGATCCGATCACGGCATTGGCCCTAAACGAAGCGGGCAAAGAGGAAACAAAAAATTCTTGGTGTCGTTCCGTAGCTGGTTATGACGCCCCGGAAGTTGGCCCCGAAAAATGTCTCGAATTCGATGCTTTTCTGCAAAAAGTCAAAGCGAAACCGGACTTTGATGCATGGACGATTAAGAAGCGATTACTGGTAAGTTTAGGGGAAATCAGACTAGGGAAAATTGCTGGTTCGATACCGGGATTTGATCAAGCTGACAAGGGGCTTTTAAGCGCGCTAAAGCAGCAAGATAGTCCGATTTCGAGGGAAAGATCGCTTCTGGACTGTTAGCCGGAGGGGGGGGGGTTTTAGCGGAGCAGGGAAGCCACTTTTTTGTGCACCTATGCACCTACCCGTTGCTGATACATTATGTATTTTTATCGTTTTTGGTAGTTTTTGATTGCTAGAAAGTTTTAAAAAATATCTTCATTATTTAAGAAATTCCCAAATTTGACCTTTTGAGTGATTTTTTTTACCAAAAAGCCTAAAAGTTTCGAAGTTTTTTTATTTGTATCAAAAATGTTAATTTGTTTAGGGCCGTAGAGAATCACAGGAAAAAATTTGATTCCCTTCGCTAAGATCCCCCGCAAACAGTCCAGTACTAAAAGATCTCCCGGGCCCTTGTTCAAAACTAGCTTGTCGCTAGAAAGGGTCTCCTTGTATGCTAATTTTGCTGGTCCTCACAGCAGACAATAGAATCCTGTGCGCCGTTTCAGGTTCCGCTCGACCACTTTGTTAAATTTCTTGCCATCCCTCTGGATGAGGCCAAGGACGTAATGTGCGATGCCGAAAATCCGGGAAGCATCCGAGAAGCCGTTGAAGCTGAGCTTGTTAAAGCCACGCTGACCGAATTATCTGAAGTCACAGAACAACGGGGGTTCATGAAAGAGGTGGAAGCCGAGAATAAGAATTATCTGATAAATGGTGGTGATGTGTTGAAGACGGAACCCGTGCAACTGTCCTGGTACCTACAGCGACGGTATGAAAACATGATTCTAATGAATTACATGTTTTCAGAGAGCTTCCACCGTCGGTCAATCAAGCCATGGCACTACTCGGCTTCGACTACGAACTCCAAAATACGGTCATGTTCCTTGCGTTTGATGTGTTGTGGGAATGCCTTCGGGATGATGGCCGCCTCGCCCCGATTGACCTCTACAAATTGGCCACGATCGCCGTCAAGCAGCTTAAGGAGCTGGACAAGATATTCACGCGGCGCCTGTTTTACCCTATCTATCATTATGTGTCCCCGCGAGATGAGTGGATACTGGTTGAAGAGCCCGGCATATTGTTTTCAAAAAACTTTACGAAAGCTCGCAAGGATTGGCGTGAAGATCCGAATATGTTTGATGCGCAGGAGAAGGAGCCGATTGGTATGGTTTTCGATCTTTTTGTCTGAAGAAGAAGAAATAAAATTTTTTCGATTTTCCTATTTGCCGAATATCCAAGGTATTATATTATGCTATAGTGTTTTGTTCACGAAGAAACTCAGAAAGCTTTGGAAAATTTAGAAAGCCAATTCGTTCGAAAAGCGGCTTTATGGACGAAATCGTATAGGGTATTATTATAGCTTTTTGTTTGCTTGTGATTGTAGTACCTATACAAAAAAGATCGTCTTCATCTGGCAAAGATTTTGTGATCTTTTACATCTCTCTTTACAAACGGGTAGCCGAGGTAACAAATTTGGAAGAAGGCTGGCGGACAATTTCAATCCAAGTGACTGTTATTTCAGATATTCAATACATTCTACGCGCTCTAACCAAGGAACTGGCACTCCTGATCCATGGAAATCCGTATCAACAACGCGTCTACAACCGAATGATGACGCACAAAACACAAGATCACTACCAGCGTGAAACGAAGAACAACCTGCGAAAAACGGATCCACTGCGGATCAATTTGCCGCACGAGATTCGTCAAATCAAATACGAAAACGAAGCCGAGTTTCGGCAAGTGTTCGATAATTACAAAGGGCCCTTCAAAAACTACTTCTTTTTCTTCAACGAGCCGCCGGTGTTGAAATGCTTGCACGAGCCGCAGTGCTCGACAATAGGTGGGGTTTCGATTTTGTAGTTGCTTGTTTTTTGGGCAGTAGAATTTCAAACTTAAAATTTTTTGGTTTCTAGTGACAAAGTGGTTTGCACCTATAAGGCCTCTTGTGCGAAATTTTGCGGTCATTCTGGGTCTTGTTTTGGAATTTGCGAAGTCACCCGATTAAAAATTTTTGTCATGCTTTGAAGGACTAAGATTTCAAATTTCGTCGCCGAGCTAAATCAGCTTTTCCTAAATCTTGGAATATCATCGCTAAGCAAAATTTTGCAAAACAAGATTTCGATTTAGCCTACCCACCAGATGTGACACCCGGCCTTGCCGTCCACTACTTCAGCTGTACGGATGAAGATGAACAAAATTTCATCAAAATGCACTCTGTTATGGACCGAGCCCTTCGCTACCTGCGATACTTTAAAAATATCGAATCAGCGCTATGTCTACGCTACCTGCTTTCGGACCTATTGGCTGAAGGGCTGGCGCTGAAGGATGTCATTTTCCATTTTCTCTGCTTTTCCGACGAGCGCCGATTGACGGAGAACAGATGGGAACCATTGATGCATTTCAAGGAATTGGGTGCTACGGATTATCCGGAAACCTTTTTCATTGAAGCTCCGGGACCTCGGGAGCTGTATGCCTGGTCTCCGGTTTTTGATCGAAAAACTGTCAACGACAAGGTGATGGTGGTGAAGGACGTTGCAAAATTTGGATTTGGACAAATCTGGCCGATCATCAGTCGACTGCAGTTTTGGCTGGACGAGTATCATGGTGAGTGCAATTGTTTGCTATTTCTAATTTAATTTAATTTTCCAAAGTGAAAATGCGATAGCGTCATTGCATTTTTTATTGCGTACCGAGGGTTATCTCACATTAAATTCAACTTTTTGTATACGTATAAAGTTGAAAATTTAATACCAAGTTAGAAAATTAGTTTCTCGCCAGACATCCAATTTTTCGAACCCGCTTCTAATTTTTTTTGTATAAGGTGGAACGATTTTTTGTGAAATTTGTAAACGGACTGGGAAGGTAAAGTAGGGTCAAGCCGTTTTATCTGCGATTCGCATCTCAAAAAAAAATGCTTTTCAGATCCAAAACGTCATGCGCGCCGGGACATCCTTCCCGTCGCTTATCGTCTTGATGTCGTCAAGCACTTCCAGGAATTCCACAGTGGAACGTTTATGCTTCGCCTAAAAACCGAACGTCGGCAAGAATCGAAGAACCGCAAAAATGCTCGACCATCATATCGGCAGGAAAGAAGAGATAAGGCAGCACAGTGGTACTAGCTCGATTTTAAAGAACAAGATCTGAATCTTTTTTTGTTGAATTTATCGTTGTTTTGCGGGTATAAAGTTGGTACATGATGCTGTAGACAGTTATATTGTTTTTATTATGATAGTGTCCTTCGCTTTGTCATTCCACTAACCAAATGAGCGTTAAAATTTGTCCCTGCCAATTTGATGGCCCTTTTTGAGGCCCACCATGTGGCGGAAGATTACCATAAAATGGGTGGCTACGGTAGCTGTGACACAGATTGTAAGGGATCGGAAAACCCAAACTTTCCCCGGATTTCATCGATCAGCCCCTCGGTCTATGTCTCGTCACTCACTCACTCTTTCTCTCTCTCACTCTTTCTCACTTTGTCTCCGGCTCAAAGGTTCAATGCGATTCGAGCAACAAATTGAGAGAGCGGTCGTAAATCCCTTAGAAAGCCCCTGTTTGTCACCACTTAATTTCGAAGGGAAGACGAGCTTGAGGGTGTTTACGGTATCTGACCCGAAATGTCACTCTCCCTTTAAAGAGCCCCGCAAGACAGCGGTATGAATTTTGTTGGCTATGGATCCGCTAGATTTTTCCAGGTGTGCGAGACGCAATGTGGGCTAATCGCTTACGCCATAAGAAACTTGAAGAGCGCGATGCGTGCCGCGATTGCGGACAAATCTATCTCCATGCCCTGCTTGTCCCTTTAAAAGCTATTCCAAGCTCTCCCTCCCTGTACCTACAAATTGACCAAGAGCTCATAAATCCCATCTCCCCACCCAAAGGCCCCATTTGTCGACTCTAAATCTCGAAAGGTGAGACGGAGCTCCTGGCTTGGAGCATGAGGCTGCACCTCTGCCCGCTTGCCCTGGCCGCTGTCGTAAACGCGACCCGTCGGCGCGTAAAAGGGACTGTAAACGGGAGCCGGGCGGAGGCGCCCAGGTGAAAGGCTGGCCGCCCTTTTTATTTCCACCTGACCCCCAAATTGTCTTTTAGCACTCGGGGGCCAGTCAGTCTTTGGAGAGGGTGACGGAACGATTAACGACATCACATCTGAAGGATGGCTATCATCAACAAGAGGGATGGGATTGTTGGCTTATTGATGCTGTATACATAAAAATACCTCAAAGTAATGGAAGTTGAATTTTTTTAGAATCAGGATTCAGCTCTGCGGCGTGCGGAAGGTCCTTGGAAAAATTGAAATTGTTAAGTTATGGATTGGGCTCTGGTTACTGAAAAAAAAGCAATCCGGAATTGTTAATCCGCAGGAATCTCTGCTAGCAGGTCCTAGCAGGGCACATTGATTAAATTTATGTATTGTAGGCTACGCAGGCTTGATCATCGAAAGTACAGTTTCCTCGATGGCGATCTTGAGCCAACGCCGAACGGAAATCCCTTAAAGGCTTCTTGAATTGCGGTGAATTGTGAGGTAAGCGCCAAAAAAACTCCACAATTTTCTTCTACAAATTCAAGAAATTTTACGGATTGTCATTTTTGCTCAGCTGAGGTTGAATATATTACAGGAGGTGTGAAAGTTAATACAAGATTTTGGAATACCGCCTGAATCTATTTTTTTGCGCCAGCGTGATCGCCATCGAGCTCCCTATAATCGATCGATCTCGGTAAGTCCAGGGCCAATTTTGTAAAGCAACAGTGAGAAAGAGCGCCAAAAAGCAAAAATTATCAAAATAGCTTCGAATTTGACCAATTCCCGCATTTACGTACGAACGGAAATAAAAGGGCGCGCAGCACCGTCGCGTCGCCGCCGCATGCCGTCAAAAAATCAAAACTCTTTGCCAGGAGTCAACGCTGTCTGCGTGGACCTGATTTCTGAACCTCTATAATCCAATACCAGCAAGACATTTTTTCAGTGTTGCATTGCCCGTCGCTTTAATAATAAAGCAAGCTCCAGCTCCACGTACATACCGAAACAACATACGTTCATTTCCACGGACCACACTAATAGCCAGCCCACGTTTGCCAGCTCCTTAACTCGATCGACCGTTAGTCCTCTGCTTTTTCCTACCCCTCATAACGACACAACATTGCTAGCTTTTGCCAGCGAATCGGGCTTTATGACCAGCTGGGATATCCGGGCTGGCGCGACGACTTCCCTCGCTCATTTTATTGGCGGGTATCGGGGGCAACTCCGCCCCTTCCCACTATACTCCGCCTAGACTACCGTAACCCCATCTCCGCCTCACCGGGTCGGCATTCCTTTGATGTGACACTAGAGGGAGATTTGTGGGCCAAACACCCAACGATGACTAATTGTTTGCTGAGCAGTTATTGGATTTTTGACGTTACTTCTTCTGAGAGATTCTGGCTGCTACTTCTGACAAAGTTTCACGATTGTTAATTTACTAGCACCTTAATTTGCTAAATTTTCTTAAAAACGACTTCCTCTGAATATTAGTTCGGATTTTCATGAATTCTATTGTTTTTCAACAATTTATGAAACATTTTTCTCAATTTTGGCCGTTTTTTGGTGTTCAGCCGCCTTTAAATGCTCTCTAAAGGTTTCGATTTCCGAGCGGTAATTTTTGCTTCCTACCACTCTCTCGCTCACTCACGGCATCTCTCTGACCCGCTCCCTCTCGTTCACTTTTGCTGGCTAACTCTCTCGCTCACTCTCGTTCTCTCCCTCTCGCATCCCGAGCTTCCTGATTTGCTATCACTCTCCAAAAGGGATAGGATTTTTTGATGGAATTCTGACTGCTTGTAAGACAACCAAAACCTTGCATATTCTGAATAGAAAAGCACCCGCTGGGCAACACTGATCGGCTATAGGCAAAAAAAATCTATACTGCCATGCCCGTCCCTTTAAAACCTCATGCTCCCAAGGTCTAAATCAATGCATCAATGCCCCAACCCGCAAGGGGCATCGTTTATCAAGTCAAGCGGCCCTGCCGGTATTCGCTCTCTCTCCCTCCCTCTCTCTATCCTTGTGTGTTCCCCCTATTTAGTGCCCCATCAACGGTCCACCCATAAATGTCCCAAGAAGGCCTTTCGGTCCTCCCTTCCCCTCTCCTAATGGCCCCCCATCGTCTCGCAGCGGCTGTCTAAATGAATTGACCGCCAGAATCCGATAACGGACGGCCGGCAGGGGGTGATGATGGGGTATTAAAAAATTGCGTTGCTTAAAAAAATTTGATGGCTGTCCTTTGGACTGATGAGGAATTTGAAGCGGGGTCAAGGTGTAGAAATCGGGATCGGTGTTTGGAAGTTACGGAAAAGGATTTTCAGCAAGTAACGAAGCTAGAAATTATCTTAGTACAAGGAAGACAGAAGAACCGAACCTGGCCGCAGGTCCAGAAAGAGACCGAGAGAGCGAAAGAGAGATTGAGAGAGTGAGATAGAGACAGAGGCAAAGTGAGAGACAGAGTGAGAGAGCGCGAAAAAATCGTACTAGCAAGGAATTTCCAGCAAAACATGAATTTTATAACCCACCAGCTTTTCCTCATTCCCAAGCCCCAACCCAATCAGTCTATCGGGAAATTATACCCTGAAATCAGCACCTGCCTCAATTTAGTTGGGTTATAAAGGTAGATTCGGTTCACACCCGTGGCTTCCCTTTATCATTTTGGTAGGTGGACCCATAAATATTTACGGGGAGCAGCCCCAGGCAGCCCCCAAAAGAAGAGGTGAGGTGCGATGCTTTGGCCAACAGACTGAGTGATAGCTATAGGTCTTTCTCATTAGGTTCCTTGTATAGTTTTGGTTTTAAGTAGCTTAATTACCTTTGAAAAAAACTGAGCCAGACGTTCAAGCAATCCTATAAGAATTTCTGCTTACTTGTCTTGCTTATTTAGTGACACTGGCTGGACAGTTACGTGATTTTCTAGTGTGAAACGAACCGTACCTTTTAAGGTATGAATAAGCGGTTGCGATTGTTTTTACGACTTCAAATCATTGAAAATTTTTAAGGCTTTGTAACGTGTCTCCGAACGTCGTCGTCTTGTCGAAATTTATCCATCGCGCGTTCTTAACGTCGAAATTTTATGATGTCTAAGTTTTATGTTTTCAAGCTTTCTGGGTGTCGCAATTTCATTTTTTTGGAATTACAAAATAATTCAAAAATCCGAAGCAAAATCCCGCAAATGGTGTCAAATATTTCGGCATATTGAAATTTCCACCCCCCCCCCCCGCCCGTAAATTTGGAGATTATGACACTATAATAACAAACCGTTTGCAAAAGTTATTATTTCGATTTCATAAGCGCTCTCGTCTTTCTTCGGGGCATTTTCCCTGTACCATGTTCTTTTCAGGCATGTCCGCCGACCCCGGTCCCTCCACCTCCGCAGTAACCAGTTCCACGAACAACTTCTCCGTCGCCAATCTCACCTCGACATCTCCAAAACTTCCTGTATTCGCCAATCTCCCCCAATTCCCACCAATCGCCTTCCTCCAGCTCGTTTCGGAGTATATGGCACAGAATTCAGCCACAGCAGCTAGGAGGGCGGAGTTGGAGGCTAGCCAAGAAGCCAGCAACTCGAGGAAGAGGAAACGGAAACCGAACTCGACCGCTGATTCGAGCCCGTCTTCTGAGAAATCGGTCAAATTGGGAAATTACGGCGTCCCATGTGGAGAGCTTCCTACGACTTCTACCGTAATCTACGAAGAAAGTAGGACTCCGGAGAGGAGCGCTGAGGAAAAGGTAATTTTAAATGTTCCGAAGCGGAATCTTCGGAATTTTTTGGAAGAAATCTTGGCATTAAAGGGACTAGCAAGTCGCGGCTAGCGTTTTTATTGGCACTGGCTTGCCATCGATTTCTCAAAAGAACCGGTAGGTGACGGAGGTGAAACTCGTGCGTCGTGAGCGCGTGCTCGTCAATATCTATTTGGTCTCGGACTTGCAAGTCCCTTTAATTTAAGAATGAACCGTTTGTAACGTAAATTTTGCGTGCAGCGTATAATTTTTAAGTTAAGAATTCTAGGATGAAGCCCAGAAACTTATCCAAAATGCGTTATCCGAGATGAAGAAGTCGAGAGCAAGAAGGGAATCGGCAGAAGACCAGGTTTGTAATTGTCTAAGGCTTAGCTTGCCCGACCGTAGATTTTTGACTGGGCTATTTTTGGTCAAAAAAACGTCTGGAGCCATTCTGAGTTTCTATGATTAACGCCATTTTCTCATTAATTTAATGCATCGATGGAATCAAGCAAGCTGTATTCCAATATGTAAATCCAGTTGTTTCGTTTTGCCCCAGCCGTCACCCCAGTAAATTCCCGTGTTCCACCCTGATCGATTTATTCCCAGCCGTAAATCGCCGATTCGGGCGCCGGGATGGCCGTGCCGAAAACTGTTTGCCCGGCTTCTGGCTATATTGTTCCAACGTCGGAGCTTCATTTTTATCATTTTAACGTTTTCTTGCAATTTTTAAGCCAGTCAAAACAGTGGCAAAGCGGAAAATGGATTATTCATTTAAAATATAATTAAATCTGGATTCCAGGGACGAATCTCGACACCGCCTGGCGAGATGCATCCTGCCGATATTGAGACTATGGCTAAAATCAGGGGACATCCGATGTTTCCAGTTTTAAAGGTATGTTTCTTACCATGTACAATCAAATTTTGTCTTTTTCGTATTTTTAATCAATTTATTTCATATGCCTTTTCAGCTCTTCACGGAAAAAGTGGAGTCCGCTACGTACGAGATGAAGAGCAGCGTTTTCAAGCTGACCGATGTGGAAGCGGTAGGTATTGTTCTGTAAAAATATTTATGTTCGTTAACGCACTAGGCTACCCTATTGTTTGCAGCTCTTCGTCGAGCTTGAAGCACAAGGAGCGAGCCCAAGGACCGAAGACCTGGAGGTGAGGTACTTTTGCTGCTCTTTGGGGTTACCGTATCTCTATGATATACTTTTTTACTAGCACCCTTTTTTAGCTAGATCGTCTTGTCTGGGATGCCATCTACGTGATGCGACTCCACCTAGCCGAGCTGGCTAGAGTGGCAAAGCTTGCAGAGGATTTTAGGGCCAATTTTTCAGGTAAGGTTTTGATAACGGTAGAAAAATAACATTTTCACTCAGCTTCCCTCAAGAAACGGGTGAATCACGAAACGTTGATCGGCGTAATTAATGAGAGTGACGAGGAGGCGTCAACGTCGGACGGGGAGTCGAATTCGGTGAGTGCCGAGAATCGCTGTCTTTCTCTCTGCTTCTATCTGCCTCTCTTTTACTCTTTCTCCTTCTCTCTCGCTCTCTATCTATCTCTCTCTCTTTTTCTCTCTCTCTCTCTGTCTCTCTCTCGCACCCTCCCGCCCTTCATGTCTCTCTCACGCTACATCCACTAATTCTAGAGGTCCTCGCTACGCGACCATCCAGCCAACACTACTGTAGCCATGATGAATACCCCACACGGAACACTCTCAATCCCCCTGACACTACCACCGATAAACCACCACCTATCAGCAGATTCTTACAACTTGGGATCCCCGGCTGGAAAGGTAGGCACGACGTTAGTTGCGCAATGCTTCAAGAGAGTCTGGCTTTCCGGAAAGAAATCCAGTAGTCGTGAACATTCCCCTAGACGTGAATAATTGAAATAATGGAATTTTGGGTTGTTAGCTTTATAAAGTTGCATAGATATATCGTTACATCGTGTTCTTTTCAGAGAACCCGCTTTGACTTCGACTCGGTCGTCTCCCACGGGTCTTCTGGATTTATGGAACGTCTTGGATCCTCACGGGATTTGTAAAAACAATTCTCATTGCCATAACTGTTCCGACATTTTTTGGTTAGTGTTTGAGGAGTCCCATGCTCAAAGGACATTTTCTTCCCCATGCAGAGCTGCTTTTACGTGTCCTTTTTCCTCTGGAATGCTTTCGCCTATTTTAATTTCTTGCCTTCATTGGTCCTTTAAAATAGATTTTTGCTAATACTAAGCGTGATTTTCATCACGCTTCTGCGTTTTGACTTACAAGGAGTCGTTTTTAGGTGATATTGGAGTTTTTGAGCGAGACCTAGCTAGTTCGATAGAGAAAAAAATTCTGAGCAAGATGTCGTTTTCCAAATCTGCTAACCGTGTATTGTATTCGATAAAAACTAATTTGAAAATCATTAATTTCGCCATCATTTCTCAGCTGATCCGCAGGTTTGGCTCGGGGGGTGCGCGTGAACATAGCCCCCTTCAGACCCTCGAACCACCATGATCGCGTGGCATAGTGGTAGTGCATTTGCTTCACAAGTTTTATCTTCTTTTTGCCTCCGGGTTCGACTCCTAGCTAGTGAAACTCTTTTGCTTTTTGCTCTGTGATGCGAAATATGGCCTCAATAGCGTTAAAAACCAAAAAGCAAAACAGCTAATCAAAAAAAGTTCCGAACCCGCGAGCGTAATTTTGCAAAAGTTTGATAGGCGCCTGCACTATCCACTAGGCCACCATCTCATGCGGATGCCGGTGGCATTGCGGCCAATGTCCCGGGCCTGCTCCATCTGTGGCCGCGTGGCGCCACGGCATTTTTTCATTAAAATCAATTTTTATCGAATACAATACACGGTTAGCAGATTTGGAAAACGACATCTTGCTCAGAATTTTTTTCTCTATCGAACTAGCTAGGTCTCGCTCAAAAACTCCAATATCACCTAAAAACGACTCCTTGTTAGAAAAAATATGTGTAATTTTTTAATATTTATTGTTGTTTCTTGCCTCTCATCTAGTGCATTTCCACTCGTGATAATTACCACATGACCAAAGTATAAACCAGATACAATTTACTTAAAATACATGTTACAGCAAAATTTGCATACGATTTTGATATAAGCCGATTTGAATCTCGATTTCCATGCGTTCCCGGGGTATAAATGCCAAAATTCAGTATCATGCAATCATTTCCAAAACCAGCCCCCACCCTGCCGGCAGGATGTCCGTCGGTCAGCCATTGGATGGTCGGTATTCTAATTGCCTTTATGCTAATTAGCCAGATGCTAATTAGATTTTCATTGAATTTTTGCCTTTTTAGCTGAAACCGCGGCGCTGGTCACCGAGCTGCGCCAGATGAAGGCGGAGCTGCTCGCGGAGGGGAACCTGTTGAAGGAGTTGAAGTGGGAGCTTGCGGGCTATTTTTTGTCTTGATAATGCCTTTATGCAGATCTAGAGCAGATCATTCTGAACTTTTTGTCAATACTCTGGCCCAATGTCCCTTTCCAGTCGCCAAAACGAGGAGATGGACGCGCAGATCGAAGAGCTGACGCTGAGGTGTGTTCGGATCGACGACGCGTTTCACGGATTTCCGGACGAAGCGAAACTTCCATTTTTCAGCGAGAGGAACCTCCGGTCCGATCTGGCCGAGCTGCAGGAGATCGAGAGTCGCCACCAGGGCCAGCTGCCGATCGACACGCTGCGCAACCTGGACCACGTCTTGGTGAGGGGCTGACGGGATCATGCTAACGCTCAATGTGCCGGCCTGTTTAACGTGATCATGCTCGCACGTTGCTATGCGTGTCTCGGCAGCGATGCGTGATGCGTCGCGTGATGCATCGGGTACGCGAGTCGGCGGTGCGTGTAGCGCGTACGAACGCGTAGTGCTGGTTGCTCCTTACGTCCCACCGTTGCTCGGCTTGTCACATCCGCGCGTCACGTATTTGAGATCCTACGCACGCTGCACTGCCTATTCAATGCGTCACGTGGCGTGGCCTATGCGTTGCGCAGCTGCTGTGTCACGCTTCCCAAAACCCTCCTGCTAAGCATCCCCATTTCCAGGAGTACGAGGCCGACTCCCAGGAGAAGGTGCGCCAGAATGCGGTGACGCTCCGGCTGATGGCCCACGAGCTCCTCCTCCGCACCATCATGAACGAGCGCGTCGCTGTTCGGGTAGAGCATCAGCAAGATGAAGACTCTTTACATTCTAGGAGCTCGCCTCGCAGGAGGCGCAGTTCGAGCGCGACTGCAACGATGCGATGAGGGCACGGAAGCTGCTGGCGGATGAGGTGGAGCGAATGGCGCGGCAGTGTGAGGGCGGAATGCTGAAGAAGAGGGACCTGTACAACGTATGATTGCTCATTTGAGGCGCATTAATGGATGTGCTCAGGAGCTCGAGGCGATGCACAGCGAGCAGGAGCAGCTCGATGCCGAGATCCGGCTCATCGAGGCCGCCATCTACCGCATGAAGCTGTCGGCGCAACACATTGGCGCGCCTGTGAATTTTGGATACAGTGGTGGGTAGAGATCTTGCTGTCTCCGCCCCCCGATATTGCGAAAGTGCCGCGCAAATCTCAACCCTTTAGGTGCCCTCGCCTCGGCCAGCGCCCCCGCCTTCACCACGTCAGCGGCCTGGGACTCGGAAGAGCTGATCATCGACCCGCTGTGCGGCCGCGACGCGCCCCCCTTGCTGAGCCCCTCCATCCGCTCGACGTTGAACACCGCCCCCAAGCAGCCGCGCGGCCGTACCGTCGGCCCGGGGCGCATCGCCCGCGCCGCCACCAGCCCGGTGGGACATCAGGGCGCTCAGGGCGGTCAGCGGGCCCGTTTGCCCGGCAGCCGTCCGGTCGCGTCGCGTGACGCGATGCAGAGCCTCCTTCGCACCCTGCAGCAGCAGGAAGTGGTCTCGACGTCGCGCGGGCGTGCCGTTAGCCCGGTCCAGATTGGCGGCCCCGCCAGCCCTGTCGGTCAGCAAGGCGTTCAGGTAAAGTTCGGGCGGTTCGGGCGGGGGCGGTCTGGTCTCTTAGCGGAGGGACAAGGCATATCAAATTCTATGCTTCAGCGGCAGCCAGCCACCGGTCCCGGAAATGAAGCGATGAAAAGCCTCCTTCGCACCCTCCAGCAGCAGCAACAGCCCGAGGCGGCTGCAGCTCCGCGCGCCATCAGCCCGGTCCCGTCGGCTACGGGCCAAGCCGGCACCTCAACCCGCCGCCCAGCCGGAAGCCCGTCCCGTCGCATCGCCAGCCCCTCGCGCGACGCCATGCAGAACCTCATCGCCCTGCTGCAGCCGATCCAGAACCTGCAGCACGAACCGGAAGCCGGAGGGCAGAAGCCGGAACCAGGCCCGAACCCCGGCCAGCGTGCCACGGGCTCTGGCGCCCCGCTCGAGCGCTGGATCATTGAGGTGGAAAGCTTCAGCTAATAGCTTTTCAACCAAGCGCTGGCTCGTTAGCGGGGGGGGGGGACGAGCGGGATTCAACCAGGTACTGGACTGTTAGCAGGGGGGTGGCGGGGTCTTTGGCAAAAGGGAAAAATCAATCTTCATTTTTGCTTATGTCTGTTAATAATAAATAGTGCATTCCTAAAAGATTTTTGGTAATTTGTGGCTGCGACCAAGTTACAAAAAAATATATATTTTGTGAGATTTGTAAAAATTTAAACGGAGTAAAAATCCTATAAAAATTCGATGCTAATGCACTTGGGGGGCAGTCCGGATTTTGACTACAAGACGTTCTAAATGTCGTTTTTTTTAAACTCGAAGCCTCTGGAAAAGCTAAGCCAAGCTTAGCGTCATAAAACAAAGCCTGCGCTCAGGTTGAGCCAAGCTAAGCTTAGCTTTAAGCTTAGCCCTAAATGACCCTATTTTGACCAACGGAGGCAATTTAAAGCTTAAGTTAAGCTTAGCTTGGGCTTAAGCCTAAGCCTAAGCTAAGCTTAGTTAAAGCTAAGTTAAGCCTGCGCTCAGCCGAAACCCAAGTAGCTTAAGCGGGGCGTCTCGTAACCCCTTACTACCAATTTTGGACTGCCCCCCCAAGTGCATTAGCACCAAAAATACGGTTAAATTTTGTTACAGGACCGCGTAGAATTTTTGGGCAAAATTATCCCCCCGTATCCAGTATCTAGTGTCCGTATTATCCAGTACCTTTGACTGTTTGGCAGGCTTTGTAGGCATCCTATGGTAGCTAAGAAAGCTAAGTGAGTATAAAAATAGAAATAGCTGCTACAGAACCACCCCCCCCCCGCTAACAGCCCATTACCGCGTTTTTTCAGAAAAAGGCGCCATCCGTCACTCTGAAGGGCCCTTCCGGAGATCTTCGCTATTTGACGGTGTCGGCCCTCGACATCCCGACGCCCCCGACGCCGCCGGAGGACGCCCTTCGCGAGCCGGTCACCCCGCAGGGCTCCTCGTTGGCCCCGGCGCGCTCGCCGCAGACGACCACGCAGCGCTCGTTGTACACCAGCATATCGTCGCCGCAGCTCAGCGTGAGGATTTGGGCATGCTCGCTCTCAATCCCACTCTCTCGCTCTCACTCTCTCTCTCTCTCTTTGCCTTGCTCTCAATCTCTCACTCTCTCTCTCTCTCTCTCTCTCTCTCTTTGCCTTGCTCTCAATCTCTCACTCGCTCTCGTTATCTCTAAAAATTCTCGCGCTTCCAGGCGCGCACCGGCAGCTCGACGACGACAGTGGAGAATGTGCTGTCGACCACCACCGTCACGACGACCACCACCAGCCTGGTCGGCGACGGCGGCAAGCAGAGCGCTTTTGAGAAGGTTTTGTCGCACTTCTTCACCACGAAACCACTCACCTTCCAGTGGTTCGGCACTTTGAGCGTCGACCAGCGCCGTGCCTTCTACCGTGCCATGGACCCGCCGAAGAAGCGCTGAATCCCTCTACGCGCCGCGCCCTGAATCGCATGCCCACATTAATGAAACGAATATCTAGTCTCGTCTGTTTGTATCCATTCCGAATGTCCAATCACTATTACTTGTGCTGTGATCTCGTGTGCTTAATAAATTTTATATTTTCGGGTGGAGAATACGCTACGATACTTTGTACATCATGAAGTAAGCGGCTTCTTAAGCTACGATCGATAATACATGCTGAAATGGCGAGATGACACCTTAATTATTGATAAACAAGCAGCGTTACAAGCCACTCAATCACTCTGGGGCTGTGTATTCAAGTGTTTTGTGTATATTTTTAGATGGAGAATACGCTACGATACTTTGTACATCATGAAGTGAGCGGCTTCTTAAGCTACGATCGATAATACATGCTGAAATGCCGAGATGACGCCTTAATTATTGATAAACAAGCAGCGTTACAAGCCACTCAATCACTCTGGGGCTGTGTATTCAAGTGTTTTGTGTATATTTTTTAGATGGAGAATACGCCACGATACTTTGTACATCATGAAGTAAGCGGCTTCTTAAGCTACGATCGATAATACATGCTGAAATGGCGAGATGACACCTTAATTATTGATAAACAAGCAGCGTTACAAGCCACTCAATCACTCTGGGGCTGTGTATTCAAGTGTTTTGTGTATATTTTTAGATGGAGAATACGCTACGATACTTTGTACATCATGAAGTGAGCGGCTTCTTAAGCTACGATCGATAATACATGCTGAAATGCCGAGATGACGCCTTAATTATTGATAAACAAGCAGCGTTACAAGCCACTCAATCACTCTGGGGCTGTGTATTCAAGTGTTTTGTGTATATTTTTAGATGGAGAATACGCCACGATACTTTGTACATCATGAAGTAAGCGGCTTCGTAAGCTACGATCGATAATACATGCTGAAATGGCGAGATGACACCTTAATTATTGATAAACAAGCAGCGTTACAAGCCACTCAATCACTCTGGGGCTGTGTATTCAAGTGTTTTGTGTATATTTTTAGATGGAGAATACGCTACGATACTTTGTACATCATGAAGTGAGCGGCTTCTTAAGCTACGATCGATAATACATGCTGAAATGGCGAGATGACACCTTAATTATTGATAAACAAGCAGCGTTACAAGCCACTCAATCACTCTGGGGCTGTGTATTCAAGTGTTTTGTGTATATTTTTAGATGGAGAATACGCCACGATACTTTGTACATCATGAAGTAAGCGGCTTCTTAAGCTACGATCGATAATACATGCTGAAATGGCGAGATGACACCTTAATTATTGATAAACAAGCAGCGTTACAAGCCACTCAATCACTCTGGGGCTGTGTATTCAAGTGTTTTGTGTATATTTTTAGATGGAGAATACGCTACGATACTTTGTACATCATGAAGTGAGCGGCCTCTTAAGCTACGATCGATATAATATGCGGAAATGGCGAGATGACACCTTAATTATTGATAAACCAGCGGGGGAGGAGCCGCTTCGCGACTCTCCCCCGCTGGGCCCCGTCTAGGCCTTATGAATTGAGCACCCTTCCACAGACAGTTATCCCGAAGAAAGAAAAACCCATCTCCCATGCAAAGCTCTTTGTATTGGCATGCGGCGCAAGATTGAACTGTTAGTCTCGTTATTAGGCCTGCGGCGCATGTTTGATCGGCTAGGTCGCTACCTCATCCTGCGGCCCAAGCTTGAGGGATTAGCCTCCTTTTTTGGCCTTTGGCGACAGCTTGAGCGGCTGGCTTCGTTATAAAGCCTGCGGCGCTAGCTTGAGCGGCTGGCTTCGTTATAAAGCCTGCGGCGCTAGCTTGAGCGGCTGGCTTCGTTATAAAGCCTGCGGCGCTAGCTTGAGCAGTTAGCTTGATTCCTTGGCCTGCAGCGCAGGCTTGAGCGGGTAGCTTCATTCTATAGGCTGCGGCTTGAGTGACTAACTTCATAATAACGTCCTTACACGGAAATCCGCTCCGAAACGCGCTTTCCGAGCAAAAAGCAAAACAACTAAAATGTCCGAGGATCGAACCTCCGATGGTTAGATTAGCACGGCGAAACGCTAACCACTACACCATGTAATGCTTGGTAGCACGCGCCAAACACCCGTTTTATGCCTCAAGAGTAGAGTGTGTCGTGTTTGAATAATTATTTGAATACCAGATGGTTACAGTCGCTTCGCGACTGCAACCATCTGGCCTTCGGGCTACCCTACATGTCCTACTCCACCACATTCTTCCCTACCTCCAACAATACCCACGCTAACGGCTTCAGATACCCCCCATAGCCGAAATCCCCTTCAAAAACTACCTAAAAACCTTCCTGATGGCTTCAGATACCCCCATAGCCGAAATCCCCATAAAAAACTACCTAAATACCTTCCTGATGGCTTTAGATACCTCCCCTAGCCGAAATCGTTTAAAAAAAAACGAAAATAACGACCGACCGGATGGAATGAGAGAAAAAAAAAAGAAATGCAATCCCCCGTGAAAATTTTCATCCACGAAACGCGCGCCACCTGGCTCACTGTCCAACCTCCGTCCCCCACCCCTATTACTAAGGAAAAAACTTTCAAAGTTAATTTTAATAATTTAAATTAAAACTTTTTCATAATTTTTTTATCAGTTTGGGGGTTTCTGACCACGCTCTATCCGAATCCGAAGATAGCTAAGCTCTAGCTCCTTTCCCCTTCGAGTTGAATTTGGGACATGACGGACAGACAGACAGACAGACAGACAGACACCACTACTTTTTTATTATAGTTGATATTCGAGCCCGCTCAAATAAATTATTTGAAGGCATCCCGGAAATTATTCAAATAATCGGTCAAATAACGGAACCACCTCCGCTCCGATTCAAATATATTTGAACATATTCAAATAAAGCCGAGCTGGCCAAGCTCAACGAAATTTGAAAAATCGCGCCTCTGGATTCAAGAAGGACCTTTGTTGAACTTAGAATAGCAACGCCGACCATTTCCTAGATGCTATAATGCCGAATAGTGAAACATGACGGTATTTTTCGGTATTTCGGGATTGTTAGGGTTTCCAGTTTTTCGGTGATCGGAATCAGCGGCAGACAACCAAAGTGCCTATCGGCTCGCCAAGCGCAATATAACAACTGTCAGAATGCCGACTTGAAAATGCCGACGTGCTAAATGCCGACATGCGAAATGCCGACGGGAGGTTTTGTTCCGAAATGCAATGCAAACATCTATATCGAAAAATTTTTGTGTCGGCATTTTTGTTGTCAATATTTTTGATGCCGGAATTCTGCAAAAATGGCGTTGCAGGGCTATGCGACATTTGGCGGTTGATATTTTAGCCCAACTGGTCTTGAAATTTGACATTTCTTATTTGAATCAAAGATTTGACTAGGTTTTGTCAAAAGGAGAGCGATTTGAGAAAGCTCGGCTTTATTTGAACATGTTCAAATATATTTGAATCGGTACTCCGGGAGAACGGTTATTCAAATAACGGTTCTGGATTATTTGAATATCCGTTATTTGGATTTATTTATTCAAAGTGGATTTGTATTTGCAAACGACACACTCTACTCAAGAGGACTGCCCGGGGCAGGGGAAGGAAAGGCATCGAGAGGCAGATCCAAAGAGACGACCAAACTCGCGAGTGCAACTGGCAAGAATGAGGAAATTTGTATTTTTTCACATTATGCAAATTAGCCCTCCCGGACCCCCAAAAATCAATAAAACCGGCTTTAACTTTGTTAACTTGTATTTTATCGGGATTCTGAAAGCGCCATCGGAAAGAGGAGGGTCGATTCCTCCGGGTGACGGAGAATTAAGGCATTTTATGCACGGGAAGGCCCTCAAATCGGGCCTCGAAACTGACGGCCGGACACACACACAGACAAAGATACGCGACCAAATTATATAAGGTAGGACAAGCAGCGTTACAAGCCACTCAATCACTCTGGGGCTGTGTATTCAAGTGTTTTGTGTATATTTTTAGATGGAGAATACGCTACGATACTTTGTACATCATGAAGTGAGCGGCTTCTTAAGCTACGATCGATAATACATGCTGAAATGGCGAGATGACACCTTAATTATTGATAAACAAGCAGCGTTACAAGCCACTCAATCACTCTGGGGCTGTGTATTCAAGTGTTTTGTGTATATTTTTAGATGGAGAATACGCCACGATACTTTGTACATCATGAAGTAAGCGGCTTCTTAAGCTACGATCGATATAATATGCGGAAATGGCGAGATGACACCTTAATTATTGATAAACAAGCAGCGTTACAAGCCACTCAATCACTCTGGGGCTGTGTATTCAAGTGTTTTGTGTATATTTTTAGATGGAGAATACGCCACGATACTTTGTACATCATGAAATGAGCGGCTTCTTAAGCTACGATCGATAATACATGCTGAAACGGCGAGATGACACCTTAATTATTGATAAACAAGCAGCGTTACAAGCCACTCAATCACTTTGGGGCTGTGTATTCAAGTGTTTTGTGTATATTTTTAAATGGAGAATACGCTACGATACTTTGTACATCATGAAGTGAGCGGCTTCTTAAGCTACGATCGATATAATATGCGGAAATGGCGAGATGACACCTTAATTATTGATAAACAAGCAGCGTTACAAGCCACTCAATCACTCTGGGGCTGTGTATTCAAGTGTTTTGTGTATATTTTTAGATGGAGAATACGCTACGATACTTTGTACATCATGAAGTGAGCGGCTTCTTAAGCTACGATCGATAATACGTGCTGAAATGGCGAGATGACACCTTAATTTTTGATAAACAAGCAGCGTTACAAGCCACTCAATCACTCTGGGGCTGTGTATTCAAGTGTTTTGTGTATATTTTTAGATGGAGAATACGCTACGATACTTTGTACATCATGAAGTAAGCGGCTTCTTAAGCTACGATCGATAATACGTGCTGAAATGGCGAGATGACACCTTAATTTTTGATAAACAAGCAGCGTTACAAGCCACTCAATCACTCTGGGGCTGTGTATTCAAGTGTTTTGTGTATATTTTTAGATGGAGAATACGCTACGATACTTTGTACATCATGAAGTAAGCGGCTTCTTAAGCTACGATCGATAATACATGCTGAAATGGCGAGATGACACCTTAATTATTGATAAACAAGCAGCGTTACAAGCCACTCAATCACTCTGGGGCTGTGTATTCAAGTGTTTTGTGTATATTTTTAGATGGAGAATACGCTACGATACTTTGTACATCATGAAGTGAGCGGCCTCTTAAGCTACGATCGATATAATATGCGGAAATGGCGAGATGACACCTTAATTATTGATAAACAAGCAGCGTTACAAGCCACTCAATCACTCTGGGGCTGTGTATTCAAGTGTTTTGTGTATATTTTTAGATGGAGAATACGCTACGATACTTTGTACATCATGAAGTGAGCGGCTTCTTAAGCTACGATCGATATAATATGCGGAAATGGCGAGATGACACCTTAATTATTGATAAACAAGCAGCGTTACAAGCCACTCAATCACTCTGGGGCTGTGTATTCAAGTGTTTTGTGTATATTTTTAGATGGAGAATACGCTACGATACTTTGTACATCATGAAGTAAGCGGCTTCTTAAGCTACGATCGATAATACGTGCTGAAATGGCGAGATGACACCTTAATTATTGATAAACAAGCAGCGTTACAAGCCACTCAATCACTCTGGGGCTGTGTATTCAAGTGTTTTGTGTATATTTTTAGATGGAGAATACGCTACGATACTTTGTACATCATGAAGTAAGCGGTATTTCTTGCTGCTGATAAGTAGAAGTATTTCTTGCTGCTAATCTGATAGACGGATAATCTAGAAACTTTGTGGGAATTGCGATGGAAAATTACATGGTGGGAATTGGTGCTAATGCACTTGAGGAGCAGCCTGGATTTTGACTAGGAAACGCCCCAAATGCCGTTTTTGAAACTCGAAGCCTCTGGAAAGGCGAATCGAAGCCTAAACCTGGGCTTAAGCTTCATACAAACGAAGCCTAGTCTTAGCTTGAGCCAAGCTAAGCTTAGTTTTAAGCTAGCCCATAAATGACCCCATTTTGACCTCGTAAGCCAATTTGAAGCTCACTAGCTCACTTGGCCTTGTGCTTAGTTAAAGCCAAGTTAAGCCTAGGCCTAAGCTGAAAACCAAGTTACTTAGCGGAGTGCCTCGTACCCCCTTGCCACCAATTTGCACTACCCCCCTCCCCCCCCCCCCCCAAGTGCATTAGCACCGGGGGAATTTTCTTCAAGAGGTCGGTGCGTTGTCGTCGCCGCCATACGATAGATCCCTGGGCAGTCGAGGGCGGATCTAGTTCTGTTCTTCAGGGTTGTGTGAATCAAAACTTAGCCAGACCGTCAGCTTGGCCAGACATTTAGCCAATAGGGCATTACGGGAAAGAATTTATTTGAGACTGTATGTAACGAATTTTTTTGTGAGCAATTCGCTGACGTCCCAGATGAACAATTGACCGATCACATTTCCGTTTTGGGGTGCGGGATTCTGTTGATGAGGCGAGATGTAATCCAGTTTATTTTGGGTGGGCACGAAAGTGAAGCCCTACTTGGGGATATCTCAAAGCATCGGTAAGGCGGGAAGGAGGAAAGGCCGAGTTTTTAGGGGGAAGGTTACTGGAAGTGGAGATAGTTACTAATCACAAATAATACAGAAATCACAGGTGGTTCGGGACGAGTTTGCAGGCAACAGGGTGAATTAATGCATTGATGAGATTCGGTCTTCATCGGGGCAGCGTCACACCGGCTGGCAGCCGGTAGCCGATAGTCATTTTGCGCAGGATGGTGTGGTAAGCACAGGGGGCTGAAAATGGCATTATCTTGAGCAAACAGTACGGTATGAGTTCCATTTACCCCCCCTTCCCGCAGCTGCAAGCTCTCGAATACTATGTTGAAGCCTTCGGTACCACCGGTCGTTAGCCCCTGGCTCGGACTTATTAAAAGTTACGATTGAAAATTTACGGAATTAAATTAGTGTTTATATCGATAACTATGTTATTTCACATTATTTTAGGCTTAACAGCATTAAAACACATTGTAGACTATTAATCAATGACCTTTTTCGTTAAAAAGGCACGAAAAAGGCTAAAATGTCAAAAACTAGCTGGTACCCATGTTGTTTGTCATGATGAAGTGGTCGCTATTGGGAAACCGGGTCAAATTATTGTTTTGCTGTGTTGCATAAAAAACTGGCGGTTTGTTCTAACTAGGAGAGCCCGAATTTTGCCGCTACCGCTATGTCGGAAGTTTGGCTGCGCCTATAAATATCATAAAAATCCCAAGAATTTTATTGACAGCCCAAAATAATGTAAAATAAAAAGGTTAGTGGGGAAAACTTTTGGGAACTCCGGGCAGGGCAGTGGGTAAAGTAAACCTTTGGGATTTTGGGTTTCACGGATAAGTAGCAAATTCGGGGAAACGAGGAATTGAGCAGCGATATCGATTGTATCCGTGTGCAAATTTTCTGCAAATTCTGATTGCGGGTTTATTCGTGCTATCCTTGGAAGCTAGTAAGATAAATATAGGATGCTAGGACCTAATAAAAACCCACACTGGACACCACAATTCCTTGTACACGGCTGTTCGGGGATGCGTTTCAGGGTACGGCTGAAGATGGCACTTTGGCGGGGTCGGGAAACCGCTTATGAGGGAATTCGAAGCACGAACCGGAAGTTTTTGATACAGCGTTTGCACAGAAACGGACCGACGGCATTGTTGAGAACGGGATCGGGCCGATGGCAATCGGCACAATGGCCCTCGACCTAATAAAAGATATATGGGTTTCATATAGCGTTTTTCTGGTTTAATAACCGTTTTATTCAATCTGGACTTTTTTTTGGATAACGCAAACTTCAAAAGCCGACGAAACCGACCGTCGGGTAGATACGGGGCCGACCTGCTCCACGAACAGGAACACGTCGCTGCAATCATATTAATTATACGATGTACAGCGTGTCCCAAAAAAACACAACCCTCTAGCGGCTCGCAGATGTGCCCGATTTTAACGATTTAACGATTTAAGTGTCTATGGAAAGCCCTCGAACTGACGAGAAAACAAGCCGTTTTCGTTTTATAGATTAACAGATCCAATTGTACATTTTTTGACTGAAAACTCGGAAAAATCTTAAATAATTTAAGAAAACGAAACCCGCTCGTGTTTTCGCCTTCAAATGGGCTTTCAAATGGTGTAAGGACATTTCGTTCCGAGCTTTCTCTAGTTCTCTAGGCGGGGGGGTGAGTTGGGTTGTGGGACGCCCTATATTCCAGAATGTCAAACACTAAGATACCAAAAGCCTTATGAAATTTATGAAATAAAGTAAAACATAGTTAAAAACGGGTTTTTATTATAAACAAACTTTGAGTGTTTACATCCCCACCCCCCGTTATTCTATGTGTACCGAGGTACTCCTTGGTGTCTTTTGCTAAAACCGTCCGGAACTGGGCAAAAACCATAGTCTTGCCATTTCCTTTATTTGGCAGATAGACACTCAAGCCTCACAATCCAAGATCCCAAACGAGTGACCTCGAACCACTTCTAGCATGTGTAAATTGATATGTCTTGATGCAGAGCTGCCCATATTTATTCTCGAAAAAAGCCGGCACCACATTATGAATTGATAGATCAACGAGCTTGAAATCAAGTAAATTTGCGGTCGGGTAAGACTCTTGATCGGCGACGACGGGCCGAGGGTTGAGAGCGAGTATAAAAAGTTGACGCCTTCGGAAGTTGTAATAGGCGCTTCTGAGGCAAGTACTTCATGGCTGGAAAAGTTTGTATCTTTTAAGGCAGCTATTATAAGTCGACTGAGACTGTAAAAATTTAGCGATGCTACCGGCCTAACTAAAGGTCCTTTTAAGGGAAACTCGTATGGACCTGGGCTCAAAGTGGCTCAAAAGGTGCACGCAAATGCGGTCGATGCCGTTTTCGCAACGGGCTGCTGATCTTTCAGACCCGAGTTATGCGCCGTTTAATCCAATTCTCTAGTTATGACTTGTTGATCTGGCTCTTCCCGGCTGTTTTTAATGACAGTACAGGGTGTCCCAAAAAAAAAAGCACCCCCCTCTAGCGGCACGCAGTCGTGTCCGATTTTCACCGTTTAGGTATCAATCGAAAGCTCTCAATAAGGCGAGAAAACAAGCAGGGTTCATTTTCTTTATTATGCATTTTTATTGGCGAATTTAACCTCCAAAAACCATGAAAACGGCAGATTTACGCGAGATCTGCATGCTAATTGCGAAATTCCTATCGAAAAGCTGCCTGTTTTTTAGAAAAACGTTGAATATCGGACGAATAAGAATAAATCTTAGAAAATCAAGCCCACTTGTTTTCTCGCCTTTTCGCGGGCTTTCGAATGGTATAAAAATCATTCTGATCTCAGCTTCCCCGGGACCGCTAGAGGGGGGGTGCTTTTTTTTTGGGACACCCAGTATTGCCATAGCGCTCTCAAAATTCAAAAACCGATTTTACTATTGGAAGAGCTAAGATTAGGGTTCTTTATTCATGGGGCGGGGGTATTCCCGGGGGGAGGGGCTGGGGGACAAATTTTTTTTCGGCACCAGCCTAGATTTTTTATATAAATAGTGGAAGTGTTTCTCATTTTCTTTAGCTACTCCTAAGCATACAAACTTTACAACATTTAAATGAAAAAATTTCTTTTAGGTGCCCCGATCATCACCTATGTGTACCGAAAGTCACGGTCATTGGACTGTTAGAAGCCAGAAATGGGTCGAGAACAATCGAACGGGGCGTGGCATTTCGCGTATTTTTAAGATAACGTTCCCCTAGGGCATCAACGCATACATTCTTTGGCCTCGTATTGGCGGAAAAATGCTACTGTATTTTTGCTACACAAGCTAGCCCACTTCCGCGCTCGGCTAATTGATTCCTAACAACCAGGGCCAACGAAATTTTAACAAACATCTAATGCTAATTAGATTATAGCTCTATTTTATATTATATACATTACATTAATTATAATTTGCTGAGATAATTAAATTAAATAATTAATTACCTGCATGACGCCGCCGCGTCCCGCGCCACGACCACGACCCCGGCCACCACGGGCCGCTTGCGCAGCCACCAGCGGAGCAGGGGGCTGCAAAAAAGTGCTTTGAAAATTGCCGGGTCAGCGAAATGCTGAAAAATTCTTGGCCTAAACAGCTGTTTTTTCCTCGCTTTTAATAATTTTGATTTTCTGAAAATTTTGAGCTTCTGACTATTTGGCGCGCATTTTTGATCAAGAACGATTGAATTTTACATACATAGGTTACAATAAAGGATCAGAAATGCTGCTGCTGCTGGCGACAAAATTAAAATGCAATTTGGAGGACTAGGGAAGAGTTGGCGGTGTTGATCAAACCCTTGAAACCGACTAGCAAGATACGGTCATAGAAAGTTGCCCAAACGTTTATGTTTATGTCGAAGGTTTTGCTTGCGGATCAGCTACGATGGCAAAGCCGCTTACCTGGGCAACCGCACCACCACGCGGAGCACGAGCAGCTCCCTGTAAATACGAAAATGCTTGATGCTTTCATGGATCTGCTAGCCTGAAGTCAAAAGGGCTTGAGCTAGATCGCTTACGGCAGATAACATACAGCGCTCGATGGAAACTTGAATATAAAAATAGTCGTGAGGCACCCCCACCCTCCCCCCGATTTTTGGGGAGAGGGGGAATTTTGAAAAATGAGCCCCCGGCAAAATGCTAAAACAAATACACTAAACGCGCCTTTGTCATTCGTAGCTCGTTTGTAGCGATAGCCGATCTAGCTCAAGCACATTCCTTTGATCGGAGGGATTCCACGACATTATCGGCGCGACGCTTGCGGTAGCGAACACTTTTGGGCTATTCGATTTCCGCTCACAACTGTTGTCAGGCAAAAAAGCAACTACTTTTTCCAGGCGCTGTTAATAAATAGCGTATTGTGCAAAGGTTTCTGGCGTTTCTGAGCGTCGTTCGGAGTGCGTAAATTTTTTGAAAAATTACAAAGATTTTGTACGTTGTGACGCCCCTAACTTTAACAAAACTTCAAAAATTTCCAATTTGTTTGAGTGAACTCGCTTTTTTACTGAATTTTTTTACCAAGATGCACGGCACGGACGCCACGCAAAAACGTTTCTTTGTTAGTTTAGGGCAGAGCTCAATTTTTAAGTACTGAAGTGCAAGCAACTCCTTTTGCATCACTCCTGTGGAATTGTGCCGTAGGTGTCGATTCGCGAATCCCGAGCTACTACGACTTACACGATTGCCGGCACGCGCACCACCACGTCCGCGCCCAGGCACAACATCACGATCAGCCTAGAGTTAGTTAGAATAACTCCAGAGGCCGGTTTCAGTTCCATGGTTGCCGGACGGGGTATGTCGGCCGGTCGCGCCGCACACAAGGGGCGACACGGCCCCATTCAAATTGGGGGGACAAAATTTTTAGGTCATTTTTGGGCTACGATGCAGCAGCAGAATCCTAAAGAACCCAGAAAAGCATAAAAAAATACTTACTATTAGAAAAATCGGATCCTTAGAAAAAAGGTTGATCCCGCCGCCCCCCCGATAATGCAAAAGAAACGAAGATTCAAAATACTTGTATTTAAAGCTGATAAAGCTCGCATAAGTAGGTTGTATGGGTTTTTTCGCATTACCGGCGAGGGGGGGAGGGCGGGCGAGGGTGACAAATTTTATTTGTATGGATCTAAAAATGTCTAATAACTTGTTAAGCAGTATTTTACTAGTGTTTAGTAAAATAAAACTCTATTTTAACCCAGAAAATTATCTAAACACCGCGAAGTTTTTTTTCAAAAAGTCGAGATTTTGGTCAAAAACGGCCATTTTTGGTCGAAATTCTTTGTATTATTTAAATAAACATTTGCAAAGTTTTTACCTTTAGAAATAGTAAAAAACAATTTAGAAGCGCTTCCGCCATTTAAATTAAAAACACGGTTCCTATGGAAAAACTTTTTGCCCCACCCGATGAAGCCCCCGATAAGGCGAAAGAACGGTTGTATGAAAAATTGCTCACCGGGTCCAGGTTTGCGCCAACGACGGCTTGTCCGCGAGCCCCGCCGGCTGGAGCTTGGGCATTGCGTGGGCGCTAGAAATACGGGCGTTGCCTTGGTTGATGGGAATATTCCTTACGAGAACACGACCGGGTGGCACCTCGGCCGCAACAGCAACGACAGCGCGCTCGACCTGGCCCTGCTGGCGCTAAAATTCAAATAATGTCGGGGTGGCAGTACCGCTTACAAGGAGCCGTGTTTAGTGACAATAGGATTTTTGATTTACGACAAATTTTACGACAAATTTTTGAAATTTTTTTCAGCTCTTAGAAAATTCGATTTCCGTTTTCGGTTCCCGTTTTTCCGACCGTTTTCGGTCATTTTTAAAAGTTTTTGGCCGATAAATCACCACGGATTGAAAAAATTTGATAGAACCGAAAACTGCGTAAAATGCTATTAAAATTGTCTATAGGATCGTAGAGGACTATTGGGAGAATTGGGAAGATTTTTCCCTCTGCTAAAAATTCCGTCCCCCCGCTAACAGTCCCGTCCCGCGCGCCCTTCATTTAAATTCGAAAATACCTCAGTCGAATACAAATAACGTGAAAGATGGTTTGCTTATGTCAGGTTTTTTGGCGTCACATTCCAATGCATTTTACACCTGCTGGCGTTGTTTTCGAATTTAAAGAAGTCGCCTGAGGCTTGGAGTTTCCCGGTTCGTCCTATCTCACTACGCTACGACTAATTGCCGAGGAGATTTTTCGTCATGCGTACAATAACCTATTTAAAATCGCGCGATCTAAAACTCTCACGCAACGGGTACCTCCTCAAGATGTGGGATGACCGGGGGAAGCTGGACGGGGCCTGGGAGGCGAGCGACAGGGTGGAGCTGTGGCGGTGGAACGGGGGGCGGAGTGGGCGAGCAGGCCGTTTCGATTGACACGCTGACCTGCAAAAAGTGACATTACTGACCGAGCGTTAACAAGTTCCTTGGTTCGTTGGCAAGCCTTTTTCATGCCACCAATCGGTAGCCCTAGGCACGGTCAAATTTTTAAAACAAAATGTGCGTTCACCACTTCTCTCGGATTTGGCATTGCCAAAAAATTTTTTTGACATTGCTTTGGGCAAACATTCATATTTTTAGCATGTACTTTTTTCCGCTCTATCGAATGGCTTGGAAAAAACTTGCAAAAAAAAATGGAAAACGGCAAGAAGCTCGCATTTCATGCCCTGACGCTATGTGGAACCCATGTTTAAATCTGATTGTTGCTATAGCCGGTTTTGTAGCGCAAAATTTCGCGTTAAAATTAAAAATGTCAGGAGATTCTTTGAGGCTACATCGGATTACATCTTTGAAATTTCCACCAATTGCCTCATTACAAAACCGCAAAAAGTTGCACCCAAAAAACTCGAAAAATCTTACGCTGAAGTCGGACGGAACCGCGAACGCTGGAACTCCGGCCTGAAACAATGGTTAAAGGGGTGATTGATTATGGCATGAATATAGACCGTATGGCGTACCGCTTGCGCGTTTTCCCTAGCGGAAACCGGGGGAACCAACTTTTTTCTTGTCGGCCCTGGTGGGGATAGTAATCAGATATAAAGGGTTTTCACATTGTTTTTAGCAACATTTAAGCCTATTTGAATCGGAAAAACTTTTTAAAATGTTAGAAAAACGTTTGAAAAAGTCGAAGATTTGGTCATTTTTGGGCCGAAAAAATCGATTTTTCGACCTAAAATCAAATTTTTTAATTAAATTTTGTAAAAGTTTTATGTTTAGGAATAGCTATAAACAATTTAAAAAACACTTCCACTATTTATATAAAAAATCTAGGCTTGGGCCAAAAAAGTTCAGTTCCCCCCCGGGAATACACAAGAACCAAATTGCTAAGTAAAAACATTTTAGAAGCACCTCTTTCATTTTATTCTTCTACAAAATTCGATCCGAAAACCGAAGAAGCCGTGATTCTAGTAGTCAAAGTCGATAGAAATAAAAATCAAAACGGAAAATCAAAAAGTCAACGCCGATGACGATATACCCATGCTAGTTTCCCTACCAGCCAGTTGTCACACTTCATCATCACACTCAACTCGGCGTTCAGCGCTTTCAACTGGAAAACAGGGATGTTTTCAGGATATTCAACTGGCTGGGCAAACCTTGCGTTGGAGTTGCTGTTGAGCAGCGGGGTTGGCCTCGTGATTCTCGAATTGGTTGCTCAACTGCATAATCGCTTAGAGACCAAAACCATCCGTACTCACCGATTCGAAAACCGCATCTGTGGCTGCCACCACCATCCTGTTTTGGGCCCTAACATTGATCTTCATGGTCGCTAGTTCTTGTAGACCCGCGCGGATAGCCTAAACAAGTAATAAACGGAATAATACCGCTGGATTAATTACAGAGAGAAAAGAGAGAGAGAGAGAGAGAGAGAGAGAGACAGACAGACAGACAGACAGACAGACAGACAGACATACAGACAGACAGCGGGAGAGAGAGAGACAGAGAGACAGACAGAGAAAGGGAGAAAGATCGACAGAGAGAGAGAGATAGTGAGAGAGAGGTTCCCAAATTTTAATTTTCGATGAAATTCATGGTATTTGCTTTCAGTTATAGTAAGTAGCAAGTGCTGCTTTCGTTCTATTAAAAAATTTCGCAGTTAGGAAAAGAGCTGGTTTCCACCACCAAAATCCCTGGAAAAATTCGGCTTAGGCTTAGGCAAATTGCCAATGGGGCCATGCTAAAGACCGCAGCAATAACTAAAACTGAATCTCGGCATCGGCATTAAACGGTCGCCGCTGGGCTTCGGTGCGGAAAAGGCGGTAATTTCATCATATTCCAAATCCCAGCGGTTTCAAACCAAATTTTCTGTTCCACACCTAGCAGAAGTTTCTTCATGGGAAAACCCACCAATTCGAGCGGCTCACCAGCCAAGCCGCCACGCACAGCCTCCGCCTCACGTGTGCCTCGGTACGCGGCATTCAGTATTTGCTTAAACAAGAAATTAAAAAAGCCATCTTAATGATAAAACGACAGCCATAACTCAAGTAAATTCACCCTGTTGAATACGTTATCGGCTCCGGTCGAATCGTCGTGGCCACCGGCGCAGCGCAGCGTGATCCAATCCACCGACAGTGAAGACGACGTCCGCTGAAAAGTGGAATTTTCACTGAGTCAAGTAAGCAAGTAACCTACTGTGTGCAGGTTGAAGCCAAAAAAGGAGAACAGGATCTCCAAGAGGGACTTCATTTTCTGCGCACAAGCGCCGCCGTCGTGCGCACGATCTAAACATACGCAATTCACAGTGTGCTGTGAGAGAGGGAGAGGGGGGAGGGAGGGAGATAGGGCGAGAGAGAGCGAGAGAGAGAGCGAGAGAGAGAGAGAGAAAGAGAGAGAAGAGAGAGAGGATCAAACCAAAACAGTTAGATCCTACCGTTCGTATCTGAAGCCGTCGTTTCGTCGGTAGATGTTGATGAGCGCGCAGAGGAGAAAGACGTGTCACGACTATCCGAGGCAGACGACGTGCTCTGAAAAGTGGAATTTTCACTGAGTCAAGTAAGCAAGTAACCTACTGTGTGCAGGTTGAAGCCAAAAAAGGAGAACAGGACCTCCAAGAGGGACTTCATTTTCTGCGCACAAGCGCCGCGGTGGTTCGCACGATCTAAACATACGCAATTCACAGTGTGCTGTGAGAGAGGGAGAGGGGGGAGGGAGGGAGATAGGGCGAGAGAGAGAGAGAGAGAGAGAGGGGGGGGAGCGAGAGTGAGGGCGAGCGAGAGAGCAACACAGAGGGAGAGAGAGGGAGAGGGAGAGAGAGAGATGGAGAGCGAAAGCGAGAGCGAGAAAACAGCTAGATCCTACCGCTATTTGTTGCAACGGATGGTGGTGTTGTGCAGAAGCTTGAGCCGTTCTCCTCACTCGTCTAAAAAGTGGAAATCTACTATATATAAATTTCTAATGTCCGTGCGCCCGGCGACCTCCAAATTCAAATTGTGGGGGGGGAGGTCCAGCGCTGAATTCCCGCGTAGCGGGGGGTCAGCGCTGGTTTTATATAATTTCATATAGTAAGCAACTAACATCATTGCCGCCTGCGTACTTGCGTTGGCGGTCGATCCGGGCCCGACGGTCTGTGATTTGCACGAGAATCTAAAGCTGTTTCTTTGCTAAATTCCTGGTATTACCAATTCCTCCGCCCGGTGGTCTTGTTGAGCGATCGGCATAAAAAGCGTGTACACGTACCACGCCTGCAAAATTTGGGGAATAACATGGATTGCTGCAAATCCTCACAAGTTCCACGAAATCGATAAAGCCCCTCTGCTGTTGACGCAGCTCGTAACGTAGAGTATTGAGCGCATCGTGCGTAGCTGCGGCTCCCGCGTACGCCGTGGTCTGGAAATGGATGGTGATGGGAAATTTCAATCCTTCTTAATTAGAATACAGAACGGTGGCATTAACGAAAAACGCACCCTTTCCATCGTGCCGCCGGCGCCGCCGTGGCGGTTTTGAGAAATGTGCTTTTCCTTTGCCATTCAGCGTCATTAGTCCATCCTAACAGCAGATGCAAATTTTGCAATCCATTACGCAGTAAAGGTGGCTCTGCGGGGATGGGGCGAAGAAATAACGGGGGTGGAAACAATTTTTGTAGTTTAAAAGAATATTCTGAAAACGCCATCGGATAGAGCGTCGAAAATTATCCTAAGAGATTTAATTTCAGTCCCAAAAAACTCGTTTTTAACGATGCTTAATTGATTAAACTTTTTAGCTTAATAAAGTAATAAGTTTAATTGTCTTATTGGTGCTTTTCAAATAGGGGGGAAGATTTAGGCGGGGGGAAACCGAACTTTTTTTGTCGGCCCTGGTGGGATAGTAACCAAATATAACGTGTTTTCACATTGTTTTTAGCAAAATTTAAGCCTATTTGAATCGGAAAAGCTTTTTAAAAAGTTAGAAAAACGCTTGAAAAGTTGAAAATTGGGTCATTTTTGGGCCGAAAAAAATTGATTTTTCGACCTAATATTAAATTTTTTAATTAAGTTTTGTAAAGTTTTTATGTTTAGGAATAGCTATAAACAATTTAGAAACACTTCCACTATTTATATAAAAAACCAGCGCCCAAAACCCGCTTCGCGGGCCTTGGGCGCTGGAATGCGGCCTTTGCATGATAAATTTGACTTTCCGACAGCTCGGGTCCTGCGGACCCCCTCCCCCCACCACACGCGCGTGCAACTCGCAAGAATGAGGGAATTTCTTATTTTTCACATTATGCAAATTAGCCCTCCCGGACCCCAAAAACGAATAAAACCGGCTTTAACTTTGTAAACTTGTATTTTATGAAAATTCTGAGAACGCCATCGGAAAGAGAAGGGTCGATTCCCCCGGGCGACGGAGAATTAGGGCATTTTGGACACGGGAAGGCCCTCAAATCGGGCCTCGAAAGTGACATCCACACACACACACACACATACGCGCCAAAATTATATAAGGTAGGATATGGGCTTGGGCGGAAAAAAGTTCGGTTTCCCCCGCCTAAATCTTCCCCCGCCTATTTGAAATACACCGTCTTATTTCGGGCTGAAATTAAATTTCTTAGTACAATTTTTGATGCTCTATCCGATGACACGGGTGCCAGTCATGTCCCCGAAAAGTCATTGCCCCGAAAAGTCATTTCCCCGAACAGTCATTTACCCGAAAAACTAATTTTGCAGGCAAAACCAGAAAACACTCGAGCCACATGGGGAAATTATCGTAGAAAGGGCATCCAACTTGAATTTTTGCTACTTCTGTTGGCGGGGTATTATGGGGAAGGAAACCGAGTGATTAGTTAATATATCGATGTTTAAAACGCACGTTCAGGGGAGGGCCGTGTACTCGTCGCAACGTGTACACCCTATGGACGTAGGGACCGCGCGCATTGCCTGGCCGCGGCGTGACAGGCAATTTCCCTCCTTTGCGGCGTGGGGCGCCCCTAGGCCTCTCGCCAGTCTGCACCTGTGGCTGACTGGTATGCGACCGCGTCTCCCGATCGGGAGGCCCGGGTTCGACCCCCGGTCGCGGCGAAATTCTTTGCGTTCTTGCCCAAAAACGTCCCTGAACGTGCCCTTTAACTAAAAATGTGCTCGAGATATGGGAGTTTTAGGTCAGGATTCTTGTTATTTAGGGTCTGACCAGGGTTGAAAAACCGCTTCGCGGCTTTTCAACCCTGGCCCCGTTTTGGACCGCATGCTGTTCTACGCTTTGCATAATTGCGCTGAATTCAGATGACCAAAAAAATGAAAAGGATTCGCTTCTGACCCTTTATATAGGCCACTTCCTACTTCCGGTCAATGCTAATTTTTCCTAGCGAAGCGGGTTTTACAAAAACTTAAATTTAATATCGAAAATGGCTGATTTTTATAAATCTGATATGTGGGCAGTCATCCCTAGACCATTACGCACCTAATGACATATCGTACCTACCCCTAACTTCTTCCCCCTCAAGAGATACGACTGGAACAACGATACGGAAGTGGATGCAAAGTGGCACACACACACAGACACTACTTTTTTATATATAGTAGGATACACCTCTGGATTTGGATGGTAGATATGCCTCAAAAGTTTTCTTGATTGAGCTACTCCGAATCGAGTTATTCCATTTGCGGGCCGAGTCGCAGGGCCGGCCCGGCCCGGCCCGCAAATGGTCTCTGGGCCCCTGAATGACCCCAGATTGGTCGTTTATTTTTGGGACACCCTGTATTGTGTGTGCCACTTTACATCCACTTCCGTCTGTCTGTCCGGTGGATATCTCGCGGGGGGATAAATTTTAAGGTACGCTTGATACGTCAGTAGCTGCGCAACGGTCTTGAGATGACTGCACGCATATCAGATTTATCAAAATCACCTATTTTTGACATTAAATTTTAGTTTTTGTTAAAACTTCTTTGTTAGGAATAATTAGCATAGACCGGAAGTGGGGATTTGACTATATAAATGGACAGGAGAGGTTGTTTTTCATTTTTTTTGTCATGTGAAGTTAGGACAATTATGTAAAGTGAAGAATATCATGTGATCGGACGGGGCCGGGGTTAAAAAGTCGCGAAGCGGCTTTTCAACCCTGGTAAAGTTGAATTGGAATTTCAACCCTAGTTTGACCATCACACCATTGTACAACACGGCTAGAAGGTCTTTAAAATAGGGTGCCATCGGTTCAAGTTTAAGAACTCGGGAAGAGAGAGAGAGAGAGAGAGAGAGGAGGGAGAGAGAGAGGAGGGAGGGAGAGAGAGCGGGTGAGAGGTGCCGCGCAAAAAGTTCACTTTCAAGCCCAGCACCTCATTTTCTGCGGCGTGTTCCAACCGACCGCAACGGCGAGTGGGCGAGTCCGCGGCTAATAACAAAACCGGAATGTGTCTGGTGCCTCTGGAAATTTCGGGTTCCTTTTGGCTAAGGCTCACTTGTTTGGTTCTTTTTATTTTTAAGGAGAGCTTTGAATCGGAAAACCGTCTAAGTCTCCCAGAGTTGTGCGCGAGACGGTTTCGGGTACGGTATTTTACTACGGGGAAATTCGACGTTCTACGAACTATTCTTCTGATGAGGTATAATATTGTTATCTTGCTGTATTTTCTAAAATGTTCTATTCGCGCTGACGCCCAACGATTACAGTACGTCTTTTTCAAATTGGGTTTTACGGACTCTTGCTGTCGTTCACTAATTTTTCAGGGATATTTGAGCACTTTTCAGCTATGTCTGCGATTCACTACGGGAACTCGTCCAAAATGAATGCCCAACAATGTTCAAATTCCCCAAAGAATTCCCCGAAAGCAAAGGGGCAATGGGGAGTTACGGAAAGCGGGTTAGTCTTCAAATTTTAGGTTTTTGGTTTTCGAAGTTCAAATTGATTTAGTTTCTCTTTAGAAAGTACTTAATCGCTCGCGGGCAATTTTTGAATCTGGAACTGGACTTGGCAATCGACTATTCGGGGCGTTGTCCTCGATGGGGATTGCCTGGAAAATGCATAGGTACAGAAGCATTTTTTCTATTGATATATTACGCTATTTTAAATTTTTAGTATACGATTTTTATTGATAGTAGGATTATACACTTTTTAGGCAACCTATATTCTCGATTCGTAACGAACACTGTAACGTGGAATGTAAGAAGGCAATGTGGGAGCTGACGACGCTATTCCCGGGGATAATACCAGATCGTGCGCTCGACAACTCGGACAAGTATTTGGTAGGCCTTAGGTCAATTCCGAGCTCGCAAAAATGCGCGTTGATGAAAAGGGTAACAAAGAGAAAATTCCCGAATTTCCGATGCCTGAATTTAAGCTAATCATCTGCATCTGGGCAAGCTAGCAAAGATCCTTTAGGAAGCGCCTCGATACCTTTCAGAAATCCGAGAACCCGGAGATCCGCATCTCCCAGTGTTGTCTGTATGACGATCCGTTGACCAAAACCAACCTGATCCTCGATATGAAACCGGCCGTCTGGTTTTACGGAGATTTCTTACAGGTTGGACATGCTACAAACTATGATTTTAACTAATGGATCTAGAGCTATAAATACTTTTACGGCCTGCGAAAAATGTACGAGCCAATTTTGAAAGCAGGTAGGCCGTGTATTTTTATATTATGTTTTCGATTTAGGCATCAAAACCTTCGGGAAAATTTCCTCAGCCATGGCACCGATTGATACATTGCGTGGGGATAAGACAAGGTTAGAAGGCTGGCACGGCGCTTATAAAAGAGTCTAGAATCTGCCTTCACACACGGAGAGCCGGCTTTGTCGGAGATTTCCATCAAGCGACGACCGAAACCTTTATCACTGAAGTTTTGAAGAACTTTGCCAACGATAGCAGTAGGTTCTCGAGAGTCGCATTTCGACGTTAAAACTATTTACAACGTGGATTTTCAGGCCATCTAAGTTTTTGGTAAGAGTCTAGGATCCCCCAGCCGACACCAACTTTTGTATCACGGCCCCCTTTGTGCTAGCGAGCTCTAAAGTATACGAAAATGTTCGTAGTACGCTAATTGGCAAGAATATATTGCATTTAGGTAAAAAGCAGCGAAAAATAAAAATAAAGGAGGTAGAAAGATTGAAAAGTCGTCTGGGGGTCCTAGATTCAGGCAGAGTTTTTCATTTATATTTCAACACCAAAAAAACTAACAATGACTAGCAAATAAAACTAATTGTTTTAGCCCAATTTTTTCCTTTTGGCGATGACATGGGGTGGTTGAAGAATATGGAGCCACGATTGAAACAACAAGCTGATCATCTCCACGTCCTCGACGCTGCCGGAACGCCCCTGTGGCCGCCTGGCATTTTGCCAGCAAGTATTGCGATAAAGTGGTGATCACAGGTAATAAGAGAAGCTTCTACAAGCTCCAAAAGTTTCGGCTAACCCGGAAACGCAACACGCCGGCGCGGCCAAAAATAATTGGATTCCAGCTGGTTCCTCGACGTTCGGCTGGTGGGCGGGATACTTTGCGCAGATGCATCGTTCACATGTCGAAGTAAAAAAACGTTACGTACACTCTAGTCAGAGCTTTTCCAGGTGTATTATAACAAAAAATTTGCAAAGTCCCCGGACTATCTGCGACAGCAAAAAGACAAGGATTACTACCTGCCCAACTGAAGCCGCTTGATTTACTGAATGGCGATGACTGATTTAAGTGTTCTCAAGCGGATTCTGTCAAGTATTTATGCCAAAAACATTAATAAAGCGTACACGATTGCTTGTAGGATAAGCAGAAAAACCGGGTAATTGACAAGAACAAATTGGGTTTTTCAAAAGCGCCAAATTGGGAATGAAGCGGAAAATTTGGGTGATCGAGCACAAATCGTATTTTCCAATTTTCAAATAATCTAAATACATAGGAAAATTTCGGCAGGTGGAGATCAACAGAAAGAATTCGAGCGGGACCTGGGATAGGGTGGAGAATGTCGAAAATTTTGATATTTTCCAGCAAATATCGAAATCTCTGAAGTGCAGCATGCCGACCGGCTCGACCTTGGACTTGTTGAAGTGGTGCTTTTGCTGGTGTTTTCGGTACTTTTTGGTGGGACTCTGATCATGTCGTGCTCGATCATGGAGTAGATCATGTCGATCACGGATTGTCGGACATCCATGTAGGAGATGTTCAGGAGTTGTTTCGACTGAAATGTAAGGATTAAAGGAATGGGCAGCTCCGATTCGATCTCTCTTTCTCTCTCCCTCTCTCTCTCTCTCTCTCTCAGGCTCTCCCCCCTCTCTTAATCTATCTCTATCCCGCCCACCTTCGTGTTATCAAAACGCAGTTCTGGCCCAACTCTTGGCAGCACGGCTTCGACGATCGGGTCGATGCCGAGCTTGGCGTACAGCTTCAACACCCAATTTGGAGCCGTGATGAACGTGATTGGATAACCTAAGAATTACAAAAGATACCAAAAGCCACACTCCTCCAACCTTGCTTCCTGAACTCCTTGAAAAGCCACTTGGCAATGTCGGAGAACCAGCCGGAGTCGGCGTGGACGAGGATTCGCTCGCCGTTTGAAGCCTAAAAAGTTCAGGGGTCTATGCAGGTCGGTATTCTCTCACCCTCTCTCTCTCTCTCTCTCTCTCTCTCTCTCTCTTCTCTCTCTCCCTCTCTCTCTCGACCATACCTCATTGGTCATTGCCAGAATATGTTCCTTGGCGACGTCTCGAACAACCACCAAACCCAGACAAGCCTTGGGAGATGCCAAGTACGTTTTGACGTTCATCATTCGACCGATGATCTAAAAATATTGATCATGCCCTGAAGTTAAATCGCATTACGCTATTGCCTTTTATATGCCTTATCTATTTTAGATGCCTAAAAACTTACTGTGCAACTTCCATTTTCGGAGCATCCGAAAGCACGGGTCCTGTGATGAAGGTAGGGTTAGGGACTGTCAGCTCGAAGGGATTGTTGTTTTCTTTAAATTTAGCGTTTAGAAGCGAGACAGTCAGGAGAGAAGGTGAGAATTATAGCGTGAGAAGGGGAGCAAGAGCGAGAGTTAGGAGGGAGAGTGAAGCTTAGAGAAAGAGCTAGAGAGATGAGGGAGAGAGCCAAAAGAGAGGAGAGAGAGAGAGAGAGCGAGAGAGAGCGAGAGAGCGAGGAGAGTGCGAGGAAGAGAGAGGGAGAGCGA